TGAATTCATCCAAATTCGAAGTATCTGGATTACAAATTCGAAGTATCTGAATACATTTGGTAGCCTCCATCTCTGTTGTATCGTTTACCAATGTCTGATAAAATATGTAATCTTTAGGAATTTTCTAGATATTTCAGCAAAACATTTTAGTATTCTTGGGCCCAGAGTTCTTCATTTCAATAAGTTTCTCCATTATTGGCTGTTTCACATATCCACACAAGGTCTGGGGACATATGAAGGCCATACTTATCTTCCTGTTCCATAAGATTGTTTATCTCCAAATAACTTGTTTTGTTTTGTTGTTCTATTCTCAGCCTATAGTTTTTTTATGTGCAAAACCTAAGAAACACACGATGGTAGTACAGAATATAGTATTGTGTAGCCTTTTCTGGGTTTGGGGAGTATTGTAGTTTTGCTTGTGAAAAATTATGCATTTCTGCTTTAAAGCCTACAGTTCTATGTGCAGTTGTTTGGAATAAGTGCTGCTTAAATGGCCGTGTGTTATTAATGAGTAAACAAGCTTTCAATTGTTTTGTAAATTTAAAAATGCCTATACACTTCTCTATGCCCATAAAATGAATGGTATGGTGAATGGAATGGTATGGAGCCCCTGGTGGTGCAGTGGGTTAAACCACTGAGCTGCTGAACTTGCTGACCAAAAGGTTGCAGGTTTGAATCTGGGAGCAGCGTGAGCTCCTGTTGTTAGCCCCAGCTTCTGTCAACGAAGCAGTTCGAAAACATGCAAATGCGAGTAGATCAATAAGTACTGCTTGTGCGGGAAAGTAACAGCGCTCCATGCAGTCATGCCAGCCACATGACCTTGGAGGTGTCTACAGGCAACGCCGGCTCTTCGGCTTAGAAATGGAGATGAGCACCAATCCCCAGAGTTGGACACGACTGGACTTAATGTCAGGGGAAAACCTTTACTTTTTTACTATGGTAAAGAATCAAAATGTTCAAATTTGAAAAGAAAGTAAATGGGTATACAACAACAACACTTTATTTATACGCCACTACCATTTCCCATTGGCACTTGGGGCAGCTTGCAAAATAGCACACAGAGAGACCACACATAAAATACATAATACATAAAATAAAATGCATCAACATGAAAACAATAATAACATTACAAAAACCAGGTATATAAATTGGATAAAACAACCTCTATTAAAATAGAATCAGTTAAATGATCCATGTAATCAATATAACAGCCCAGCTGAATGCACAGAATGTAGATATAAAGTGCTAAGTGATTGGCAATCGGTTCTGGTTACTGTCTAAATGTTATCAATTGCCTGCTGGGAAAAACAAGTTTTTAACTCTTTCCTAAAGTGTTGTAGTGTAGGGGCAGTTTACTGGGGAGGGCGTTCCAGACCCGGGGGGGGGGGGCTACTACTTAGAAGGCCCTCTCCCTTGTCTCCACCAACTGCTCCAAAGACAGAGGTGGGACCAAGAGTGGGGGGCTTCTCTGGCAGATCTTAGAGGGGAGATGCTGTCAGGCTGGACCTGAAGCATGTAGGGCTTTATAGGTGATAAACTGCACAATTGAATTGGGACTGGAAACTTATTGACATCCAGTGGAGCTGTTTCAATAGAGGCATGGTATGCTCCCTATTATTATTAATACCCCCATCCCATTTTGCCATTCCTAAAACAACTTTTTCCCCCTGTGGCTACAGAACTTAAAGAAATTGTACTTCTTCCATTCTTGTCTGGGACATTGGAAAGTAAAGCCCTTGGTTGCCTTGAAGTCCTGAAATGCTGAGTTCAGAATTTCCAAAGGGGAGGGTCAATTGATGAAAGGCTTGGCAATGTTGTGGGCCAGTTATTACTGGATGAGTGGGTGGGGTAACAATGAGCTAACAAACCTAACTTCCTTAATAGTTTTGTGGTAACGAGTTTCTTAGTAGAGATTAAAAGTCTGAACCTAAAGGTGCATATTCCTTCTTGTCTGACGCAAACATGAAGAAATGTAGCTCTGTCAGTCCATGGTAGAATGAGAGAAATGTACACTAGAAAACACGCTGTGATTCATACGTTTTTAAAAAGTTGGGAGATAATTTTATAGAGGCCACTATAATGTTGCAAAAGGAGGGCATACTGCAAAGTGATATGAACTTGGAAGTTCTCAAAGGCTTCCTTAAGTAAGATGGAAAATAAAGATTTTATTGATTTTATTGATGTTAAAGTTTTTATATTGTAATTGTGTTTTTGGTGGCATTGAATTTTGCCTTGTGAACCGCCTCAAGTTGCCAGAAGGCTGAGAGGCAGCATACAAATACAGCAAATAAATAAATAAATAAATAAATAGTCATACTACAGTGTTTCTCAACCTAGGGTCGGAACCTCTGGGGGAGGTCGCAGGGGTTTTTTAGAGGTATCTCCAAAAACCACGAGAAAACACATATTTCTGATGGTCTTAGGAACTCCTTTGGCAGAGAAGGCTGAAAATCTCTCTGTTTGTCCTTCTCTTCCTTTTTGGAAACCGACAGCAAATCCTCCCACCAAAAGCCCTCCTGCTTCTGTGAATGTCCAGCTTCTCAGCTGGCCTCTCAGCCAAAGGGAGGGCTGTTTGTGAGATTCCAAGCGGGGAGGGAGAGCAGGCATGCTTGGCTGATAGCAGTGTGTGCACGGGCAAGGGAGAGCGTGTGAGGCTGGAGGGAGGCTTGCGTCAGTGAATCCCCTCAAGGCAGGGGGGAAAGCGTCTGTGTGATGTGGGACTAAGAATGGCCCAGCAGCATTTACAATACAATCTATAACAGCAGCAAAAATACAGTTATGAAGTAGCAACGAAAATAATTTTATGGTTGAGGGTCACCACAACATGAGGATCTGTATTAAGGGGTTGCGGCATTAGGAAGGTTGAAAAATACTGTCATACTGTTTGGACTTCATTTTTCATGTGCATGTTGTTTGGTGTGAAGAAAAAAATTGCTGAAACACATCAAACAATTCTAGCCTTCTAGGATTAAACTTGTCCTGCATTTCATTGGGGGGGGGGGGTGGTGCAGTTAGAGTTTCATGGTTAGAGTTTTGACAGTGAAGTGCTGTCTGGACAGGTCTGTTATACTCCTTCAAATGCATGGAACAGCCATAACAGGCTTTTCAAGGAATGCTAAGTTACATAGCCACACCTTACAATACCTGTGCTCACTACCAATGTCAGTATGCTGAATGCTTACATAGTGGCTTTCATTTTCAACTTTCTTTGCAGACTGTGTGATTACAGGAATAATCAGTCCTTTGGAAGGCAGTGAGCGCATGACTCTGGCTAAGGATGCAATGCTGGAGGTGTGATTGCAAGTTTAAAGTCCTGGTCTTGAGTTTATATTGCTAAATAGTCTTGCGAAATCATCGTAAGCTGCTACTTCCTCTAAGATCTGCTAGAGCTATTTAATATATCCAGAGCTAAGGCGACCCTCTATCCAGACATACCCCATCGTAGCCAGCTAGAGGCATCTGAAAAGCCCACAGACAGCATGAAAAGGCACCAGTTAAGATAGTGGTTCTCAACTTCCTAATGCCATGATCACTTAATACAGTTCCTCATGTTGTGGTGACCCCCAACCATAAAATTATTTTCATTGCTACGTCATAACTGTAATTTTGCTACCGTTATGAATCGTAATGTAAATATCTGATATGCAGATGTATTTTCATTCACTGGACCAACTTTGGCACAAATACCTGATGCCAAAATTTGAATACTGGTAAGGTTAGGGCAGGATTGATTTTGTCATTTGGGAGTTGCTGGAATTTATAGTTCACCTACAATCAAAGAGCATTCTGCACTCCACCAACGATGGAATTGAACCAAACTTGGCACACAGAACTCCCATGACCAACAGAAAATACTAGAAGGGTCTGGTGGGCATTGACTTTGAGTTTTGGAGTTGTAGTTCACCTACATTCAGAGAGCACTGTGAACTCAAACAATGATGGATCTGGACCAAATTTTTCACGAATACTCAATATACCCAAATGTGAACACTGGTGGAGTTTGGGGGAAATAGGCCTTGACATTTGGGAGTTGTAGTTGCTGCCATTTATAGTTAATCTACAGTCAAAGAGCATTCTGAACCCTACCAATGATGGAATTGGTCCAAACTTCCATACAGAACCCCCATGACCAACAGAAAATACTGTGTTTTCTGATGGTCTTTGGTGACCCCTTCTGACACTCCTTGCGACCTCCGCCAGTGGTCCCAACACCCATGTTCAGAAACTCTGAGTTAAGACCTTAAACCACAATCCTAGCTGATTCTGAATCTAGATATTATAGTTTCACGTTCATGTAACAAGAGTGGGGTGTTGAAAATTTCTGGTACATCTGAGGAAGGGAGAATCTATGTCTTGTGGGAGTACAAAGGTTATTAAACCGAAACATGATCATTGGGAGACATCATACAGTGTTTTGAACTTGGGGAAATTCTGTTCCTGGCTAACAGCTACTGTCAGGGACCTTTTGTAGATATCTCTTAATATCTTTTTAAGAGAATATAAATCCACATTTCCCATACCATTTTTGAGAAGCATGTTGAAAACTGGATGAAGAATAAAGGAAAGAAGAGGCAGCTGATGACAACTGGTTCCCACAAAGTGTGAACTGAAACAGGTCCTTTGTCTTGAGTAATGTCTGTTCATTTGGTAGCAAGAGTGGGGAGATCAAATTATTGTTAGGAGACCTTGAATACTCAGGTGCCTGTCACTCAGGCTCTGCAAATTAATCACTGGGTCTAATTACTTTCAGCTTTTGATGTAATTTCTGTAACACTTCCCAATGTGGAAAATGTTAGGCCTCTGTTTTCATGACAACTAAGTGAAGGTTTAATTTGGGAGATAACACGTCACCCAATAAGTACAAAATTAATTTATCTTGGTTGAAGACAAATCGCTTCATGTAATATCAGATGTTGATGCATAACAATCTGTGCTGAAAGACTTAGTTGTTATTCTATTATGTCAATGTGTTCTTATTGGGATTTTTTTTTCTCTTACAGTGCTGTAGGTAAAACATGCCTACTCATCAGTTATACAACCAATGCATTTCCTGGAGAATATATCCCCACAGTGTGAGTAACTTATTTTCTTTAAATATAATCCCTTTCAGTATCTGAATCTAGGGTTCACATCTCTGCCATGGAAAGCCAATGGGTGATCTTGAGCCAGTCACACTCTCTCAGCATCAGAGGGAAGCAGAGGCAAATCTCCCCCCCCCCCCAACAACTCCTGTGGTAGGTTGCCACGCAGCGCCACCACTAAAAGAAATTATAAACTGCACAGAGCAGTTTAGGAAAACCTTAGGAAAATGCAAGTTGATTTAATCTAGCACCCAAAAATGAGGGGCCATACCAGATCTCCAGATAATTTTTTTATTGTGTCAGGAGTGACTTGAGTATTTGAAGTCACTTCTGGTGTGAGAGAATTGGCTGTTTGCAGAGATGTTGTCCAGGGGACTCCCGGTTGTGTTACCATCCTGTGGGAGGCTTCTCTCATGTCCCCGCATGGGAAGCTGGACCTGATAGATGGGAGCTCACCCTGTCTTGCAGATTTGAACCACTGACCTTCAGGGCAGCAGTTCAGCCAGTGCAAGGGTTTAACCCATTGTGCCACTTTGGCTCTGGATAATGGGGTGAGCATAACATAAGGGGTTTTGTTAATGTGACTTCAGTATTATAGTTTTGGCTCAGGACAGATCCCAGCATTAACCAGAAGTCTACTCCAAAATTCTTCTTCTGTGTTTTGCAGCTGGTTTTGGGTGTGATGGCAGGGAAGTTTTTTAAAAAGGAAACTGCTGCTCCAGGCAGCAGTCTGGCACGTGCTTTGTGTGTTTTTGTTTTCCTTTTTAAATTATGAGGCCTGGTGGCTGCAGAAATTCTGTTGAGAGCCACAAGTGAGCAGGGGGCTGCCTTTTTCTTTCTCCCTGCTGCATTGGATATTCCACAACTGAGCCAACTTATTTATTTATTTATTTACTACATTTATATACTGCCCCTCTCAGCCCAAGGGCGACTCGGAGCGGTCAACAATAGGCAACAATTCGATGCCAGTGCAGTTACAACAAATTAAAAGAATCATAAATACTTTAAAATACTAACAGCAATATAAAAACATAAAAATCATACACAGCATTTAAAAGCATTGTCAAAGCGTCTCCATCTCAAATCATCATTCAGTTGTCCATAATATCATATATCTATGCCATATTTGGGAAGGCCTGTTTGAAAAGCCAGGTTTTCACCATTTTTCGAAAGGACAGGAGGGAGGGGGCTGATCTTATCTCTCTAGGCAGGGTGTTCCACAGTTCCCAATACTTTGGGAAAACTCCTGAATTTCACTGGCTTTCTAGTTTTTAGCAGTGTATTTCACAGAAAAAACTATTAAAGAATTCACTGACTCTTCCGTCTTGTCCTTTAGCTTCGACAACTATTCAGCAAATGTGATGGTTGATGGAAAGCCGGTCAATCTGGGCTTGTGGGACACAGCTGGGCAAGAAGACTATGACAGACTACGCCCATTATCCTATCCACAAACAGTAAGATTTTACAGTGGAAGACCTGAAATATGTTGGTGGGTGATGGGGGCTTCAGGCGGCAGGTTTGCAGATTGGGGGTGCTTCCAGTTTAGTTTCATATGTGTTGATCCAGTATGCTAGACCTTACAAACTAAATACAAATGGGGATGATCCTTGTTCGTATAAGTAACAGACCCAGGTACGGAGTACCTTTCAGTCTATAGTGTTGGATCTCTGCACTTCCAGACCAGGCTTTTGTAACCCCCTGTCAAGAACAATTCCAGGTGTAATGACCTTGCAAAGTCAGCCCAGTGAAGAGGTCAGTAGGGGTAGGGTAAGGTCATGACATCTGAAAAAACAATCCTTTCAGGTATATTTCTGTGCTGCTACCCAATCACGAAATTAACTGCATATTATTTTGTCTGTGCCAGAGTGGTGTGGTTTAGCCACCACAACGTAAGCAGCTGTACTGCACAAGTATGCCTCTCATTGGTTTCTGTGGGGCCCTTGCAGTCATTTGACACAAGATTTCTCACTTTTTAACATGCCATGATGTAATTGTAAACCTCCCTCAATACAGCTGCTTTCTGCTGCCTTGCTTCCTTTTCATCTCAGTTGTATGTGTCATGCTTCTAACACGAAAGCTTACTCATCTGGCATTCATTAGTTGCTCCCAGAAGGATGGGGTGGGGGAGAGAAATGGAGGCAGCACTGTTTGCTTCCCTTGGAGCTCTGCATTTGCTCCTTGCCTGAGCTCAGTGATTTTTAATAGATTTTTAATTCAGGGATATGTCTGTTGAACCAGAGAGATTGCACTGTGTTGCCCAAACGATGTCCATCCGCACCTCACTCAGAATATACCAGAAGAATGTCACAGTGAAATAATGGAGCGAGGGCACAGACTGGATTGGCCAGCGAGCCCTCGATGAGAGGTCAGCATCTCCATTAAAAAGGCAGCCTTTGTTTGCGCTTGCTTGTCAGGCACAGTCTGACACTATCTTTGCGGAGCGCTGGTGCTGATCAGCTCTTCACTGGGGTGCAAGGGATGAATTGTGACAGAAGAGCTCATTGAAATGAAAATGTGGGCTGTAGCTCTGCAACGGGTTCATTTGGATCCTTTAGGATGGTAACAATTGGCACAAGTGTATTGTGTGCTGCGAATGGAATTGCCATGTACTACCCTCTGCTCATTCTTGGGCATTGGGCAAGGGAGCAAGGATGCAGTCGATTCTTAAATTCAGCAGCTACTGCAACTCAGCTCTTCAAAACCTATTTTTTCAAAGATACAGATTAGCCAATTAATGCCGTGCTTTGAGTTAACCTCTCCCTCTAGACATGATGATTGACAGTTTTATTTCAAGTAAAATCTTTATTATATAGTCAGGTTTTTTAAATGACGTTTCATCACAAATAGGTAAAGTAAAAAAAAATTACAATGGCACCCAGAATAAAAGCAATCAGTAGAACAAACAGGATGCATATATCAACAATCAATACACTTGGAAACTTTTTTATAGTTAACATTACATGCTATCTGTGCAGTTCCAGCAAGAATTGCAGGTCCAAAGAAAACATGTTCCTTTGTTACACTGTATCATCAGAATTGGATCCCACTTAACGGATTCAGTTAATTGCCCCCTCTTTTTGATTATTTGTCACATGGAGTAAGATTCAAGTATGAAAATTTTTGGGTTGTTGTTGTTTTTTGCCTGGAATTTCCCCTGTTTTTGAATGTGGTTCTTTATTTACTGTTATGATTTTAAAAAAAATAAATACTGGTAGCCAGATTTTATTCATTTTCATGGTTTCTTCCTTTCTGTTGAAATTGTCCACATGCTTGTGGATTTCAACCAACCTGGACACAGCATATTATTTGAGAACACAGAAATGCTGGACCGCTCTAACAATTACCATGTCAGACTATATAGAGAAGCAATTTAAATCCACAAGCACGTGGACAATTTCAACAGAAAGGAAGAAATCATGAAAATGAACAAAATCTGACTACCAGTATTAATAAACTCTAAAATCATAACAGTAAATAAAAACAGGGGAATTCCAGGCAAGCTAATCACCTCGCAAGAAAGGATTCCCCCAGGTAGTAAGAAGCCAGACTTTGAAAACTGCTAGGTCATTAAATGCTAATCAAGGTGACATTCACACCTAGCTCCAACAGACAAGAGTTCTATCTCCCACACTGGACATCATTCCACAGATATATAAACCCAATTTTCCTAGTTTCCAACAAACCTCTGAGGATGCCTGCCATAGATGCAGGCAAAATGACAGGAGAGAATGCTTCTGGAACATAGCCATACATCCTAGAAAACTCACAACAACCCAGTGATTCCGGCCATGAAAGCCTTCGACAAATACATGATTTTTTTTAAAAAAAACTTATCTCATTTAATAATAGTCTAGGAACGTAGATTATAATTTTACTCTTAACATCCCCTGAAAGCTGAAAGGTTGAAGCTGTTTCTGTACGGTGGCTTTTTCCTGATTTGGTATGCAGACTATTTTATACTTAACTTTCCTGGGAATCTATTTCTGATCCTTGTATTTGCTTGCTGACACTATGAAAAGGACATTTTCACCCCAGGTCTTAGAGTGAGGGATTGGCAATGTTATATTACTCTTTCTGAGAGAACTGCCGGAAAAGCCAGAAAGAAAATAAGAAAAGCTTCCTTTGTTCCTTAAGAAACTCCAGTGTGACTCATCTGGGGCAAACACCGAGCAATGAGGAAAACGCACACCTCAAACGTTAAGCCCCAACAAAAGGAAATCCGTCACTGTTTTTATGTCCGTCCAGCTCTGATTGCTGACCTGTTCTCTTCTGTTAATGGGTCAAAAGCAAATGAAAAATATTTGCTGCAAAAGCTTAGAGTCCAAGAGATCTTTCCAAGTATAAAATTGCCAAAAGAGCCATGGGTTCTACAAATCTGAAGCACTTTCTATCTTTAGCAAGCAAAAATAAAGCGCTTTCGAAACATGCCCATGCAAACCTCATGATTTTGGGGGAAGAATATTGAATTGCTTGGGGCCAAATGTGCTTCGGCAAGAACATTGCACCCCTCTGGCTATCCATGAAGTTTGTGCTCTTAATTTACAGTACAGTAGTGTTTAAACTGGCTTGGTTGAAATCTCTGCAGACCTCCTCTTCAGTATGTTGCAGAAAAATACTAGCTGGTATAAGCTCTTAGAACTTTAGAAGGACTAGCTTCTAGTTCAGTGTTTCTCAACCTGGGGGTCGGGACCTCTGGAGGGGGTTGCGAGGGGGTTTCACCAAAGACCATCTGAAAATATTTATTTCTGATGGTCTTAGGAACCACTTTTGCAGAGAAGGCTGAAGATCTCTCTGCCTGTTCTTCTCTTCCTTTTTGGAAACAGACGGCAAATCCTCCCACCAAAAGCTTTCCTCCACTGTGATTGGCCATCTTCTCAGCCAAGGGTGACACCTTCTGCTGTCCTGCCTGGTGACACCTTCTGCTGTCAAGAATTCAATGACTACACATTGCTTAAGTCGCATTGACTGACCGTCTGTGCAGGGTTCCATACTTTGCACTTTAACAACACAACCATTCAATGCTAAGGCTTCCTGCCAAAATGGAACTGTAGAGGAGAGTCTACTGAACAAGCCAGTACCTGCTGCACACCAGTACTGCCATCTGTTGAGGAGTTACAAAGGTGGAGGCATTACTTTTCATTCAACCCTCGTATTTGTGCGAAATGTGGTCCAGTGAATGAAAATACATCCTGCATATCAGATATTTACATGACAATTCATAACAGTAGCAACGAGAATAATATTGTGGTTAGAGTGGTCACCACAACACGAGGAATTTTATTAAGGGGTCGCGACATTAGGAAGGTTGAGAAACACTATTCTAGTCCATGCGAGTTGAGTTCTCTATTCGGATTGATCCCAAAATGGTTGTTCAAGAAGGAATTAGGCTAGCATACTTACCCTAGGCAGGCGAACATCCTATAAGTAGGGAAAAGTTGCTGTTGCTGGTGCTGTTTCCCTTCCCACATTTCTGAAGGAGGGTTGCACCATGTGATTCAGTGTAAGTGTAGTAAATGATGGACGAAGCGCTGATTTGTTTCCTTTTTCAAGCCACTCATAACCTTAACCGAAGTTGTTTCATGCTATTACTAGGTTGAAGGAACCAATGGTAAGGATTTAACTCCCAGGGTGAAACGGCAACAGCTCTGCGTATGTAACACTTTCAACCATTAAGCTCCAAGCTCTTTCATCTTTCTTTTTTCGGCTTCTGCTTTTGCTGCCGTTAAACTGGTTTCCCGTAGTCTGGTGCAGGAATGGGCCAACTTGGGCCCTCCCAAGTGTTTTAGACTGCAACTCCCACCATTCCTAACAGCCTCAGGCCCCCTCCTTTTCCCCCTCAGCCGCTTAAAGCGGCTGAGCGGGAAAAGGAAGGGGCCTGAGGCTGTTAGGAATGGTGGGAGTTGCAGTCCAAACCATCTGGAGGGCCCAAGTTGGCCCATGCCTGGTCTAGTGCCTTCATGTTGTCATATGGATTCAAGCAGCCCTTGTAAAAGTCTTCAAGATTAGGCTTTTATTGTCCAAAGTCCAATTATCTGAAATATTTCAGGCAATCTTCTCTTTTTTCCTGAATGGGAAAACCACGGAAGAGCCTGGTGGAAGGTGGCCACAGTGCGGCCAGAGGCACTTCATCACTGGCAAGCCGGAATAGTCACAGGGGGTTATGGGGCCACAGGGATGCCAGGCGCTGCTCTTTGCTGCATGGATGACTATTGTTGCCAGGGCTTAGCTGCGAAGGGATCCAAGGGCTGACCTAACCGAAAGGCTGGAGCTACAACCCAATCAACTAACACTCTTAAACACCACTGATTCTTTAATGACTGATCTGCACGTCACAAAATCTAGGTGTCGGTATGGAGGAGACTAGAGCAGAAAATGCCCATTTGCTAGTGATTAGAGATGAGCAGGATCTCACACGAGTAATGAAGGGGGGTCACTGTTTTGGCCCCTTGGAAACAGGCCCAGAAGACTACAGGTATTTATTTATTTGCTGCATTTGTATACCGTCCTTCTCAGCCCTCAGGCGAATCAGGGCGATTTACAGCTGCAACAATTCGATGTCCAAAAAACACTGTTTTAACATTTAAAAACATCAGCACATAATAAAAACCAGAACAAGAATATTAAAAACATACATTGTTTACATACATTTTATCTTCTTATACCAACTGGAAAACTCCCCAAGTCACGATATGGAACTGGATAAGCTTGTCAGGAATTGAACACGGCTAAGGGGCCTGTGTTGTGCTTTTTGTGTGTGTGTTGTGTGTCAGGAGCAACTTGAGAAACTGCAAGTCGCTTCTGGTGTGAAAGAACTGGAAATGACTACAAGAAAGGATATTCCACCTGAACATTAGGAAGAAATTCCTGTGAGAGCTGTTCAGTAGTGGAACTCTGCCCTGGAGTGTGGTGGAGGCTTCTTCTTTGGAGGCTTTTAAGCAGAGGCTGGACAGCCATCTTTCAGGGGTGCTTTGATTGCAATTTTCCTGCTTCTTGGCAGGAGTTGGACTGGCTGGCCCATGAGGTCTCTTCCAACTCTATGATTCTATGATGTTGCCCAGGGGGCGCCCATATATTTTACCATCCTGTGGGAGGATTCTCTCATGTCTCCGCATGGGAAGCTGGAACTGACAGACGGAAGCTCACCCTGCTCCCCAGGTTCGAACTGCTGGTCTTTTGGTCAGCTGTCCTGCCAACACAAGGATTTAAACTAGGGGTCCTCAAACTTTTTAAACAGAGGGCCAGGTCACAGTCCCTCAAACTGTTGGAGGGCCGGATTATAATTTGAAAAAAACATGAATTCCTATGCACACTGCACATATCTTATTTGTAGTGCAAAAACACTTAAAAACAACACAATAATTAAAATGAAGAACAATTTTAACCAATATAAACTTATTAGTATTTCAATGGGAAGTGTGGGCCTGCTTTTTGTTGATGAGATAGGATTGTTGTTGTGTGCTTTCAAGTCACTTCAGACTTAGGTTGACCCTGAGCGATGGCCGGGGAAATGACCTTGGTGGGTCGTATCCGGCCCTCGGGCCTTAGTTTGGGGACCCCTGGTTTAAACCATTGTGCTGTCAGGGAAATAGTAATGCAGTTCATGATTCAGTTCAGTAGCATGCATAGGCAGTGATGGGTTTGAGTGTTTTCCTGACAAAAGTGTGTAAGGCCCTTCACGGAAGAGGCAGAATTCTCTCTTCCAGACTTTCTGTCTCTGATGATTTTGAATAGCATTCTGTTCGTTCATTGTATCATAAAGCGGATTTGTGGCATCGTAGCTGCTGGGGATTAATCTTTATGTCATGACCCCCCAAAAACTGCCTTGGCAGCCTCCTGATTGAAATTTGTCTTGATATGTTGGGAACTCATTCCTGCAGTGCGTTACTAGTCAATGGGTGTCTTGGCACCTCATAACTGGGAGAGGAAGCCCGACATCATGTCCCAGCACTTCCATCTCCAGTGCCTCTGAAATCCTTCCATTGGGGTGATGCCAGACTGAAAAGGTCATTTTGTTGAGGGGAAGGGTGCATTATCAATTGCATTATAGTTATGATGTCAATCTTGACCTTAATTTTGAAAAGGTGCATTCAGTTATCTGATTCTTCCATCTTGAGTGCAAGCTGAGCATCTCTGCTACTCAAAGTCTACATAACTTGTCCCAATACAATAGTGCAGAATGGCATTAAGAGTATTTAGTCTGAAGGGGAGCTTTCCTATTAATTTCCTTGATGGTTGCTCTCCTCATTGAAAAGAGCTGCGTTGTCTGCTCTTTTAAGCCAAAGTCTGCCTCCTCACATTTTTCCTGGTCTGCAAGGGAAAGAATAGGCTCATAAAGGCACTGATGGTGCTACAACTGGAGACCAGTGAGAGCCGAAACATGTCACATTCATGTTTTTTGTAAACTGAGATCACCCTCTTAAAAGTGAATATAAGGAAAGCTACAAATGTGCTTCCAGGTAAGTGTATTTATTGTGCTCCAAGACTGTACAAAAGCCACATTTTTATCTGTGTTGGCAAGGAGTGCCCAAATGAACAGTTTCACAATTTGGATCTGATGACAAAAAGGATGGCAGCGCAAGAGGACCTGCTTCCGAGGTCAAAATGTTGTGTCTGTGAAGCTAATTTGGTCATCAGTTCCTCCAGTTTTGTGTGTCTTGATACTGTTATCACCTGGAAATGCAGGCAGATGAGGTTTTGAGGGGTTTTTTTTGCCACCAACCTCAGTGTGCTTTTCTTTTTTGTAACTGGAAATCTCTGTAACTGGGACGAGGAGGCTGATAATAAAAAAACAATTAAGCCACGGATGTAACTGCTGGAAACTAAGACTCTTAAAATACTGTTTTACAGGATGTCTTCTTAATTTGCTTTTCCCTTGTGAGCCCTGCATCCTTTGAAAATGTCCGTGCAAAGGTGAGTGGAAAACCGGCATTTCTTTAATTCTTTAGGCAGTATTTCCCAAAATGTTTTGTCTTTCTTCCAGTAATAGGATAAATAGGTTCTTTTAAGTACTGGAATGAAAGCAGCAAAATTTTGCTTTCTAAAAGGAGGGTTCTTGAATAATCCACCATGATTTGTTTTCAAATATACTGCAATGTATCTGATTGCAATGTTGCTCGAGAATTGCACTCACAAAAAATAAACCTTCCAGAAGTTCTGCTAATTGAACTTCTCTTTTGCATTGCTACTTTATACAAAAGTTGTGCCCGTGTTTGCTTGACTTCCTGTTCCTTCCCCATTCTTTTGTGTCGTATCTACTAAACGATAAAGTGCAGGCAAGGATTGTGTGGGTTAACCTTTGCACACAACCAGAATACTTCACAGCCATAAATAAATACAGTCCTTCCCGATTCCTAGCTCAAGTCCTGAAGGAAAGGAGCGGCTGCCTCTCCGTCAAGCAGTTCTCAGAGAAAAGAGGGACGTGTGTTCCAGGCCTGCAGCTGGGCGCTGGAGACTGGGCTTCTGTCCTGTGTGTTGAAAACAAGGGCATGATTCACACTCCGGGTTTTATGTGTTGGGTACTGATCAGCTGGTAGGCAGCTCATGAGGGCCTAAGGCTTCTTTGAAAGATGCATGCTGCTTTCCCAAAACTTGAAAATAATTATCCCATTTGTTTTTTAAGTTTTGCATTAAATACATTCTTGCACTTGTAGGTAATCCCTGAGTTAAATAGGTTCTTTAGGTTTGTCCTTAAGTTGAAATTGTATATAAGTCAGAACAACAACATTTTTAAGTGTAACTCCAGGCAAATATATAGGGGGGGGGGCTAGCTTTGGGGAGATAAGATGGGGTATAAATAAAGTATGATTATTATATTATATTTTGGAGCCTCCGGTGGCACAGTGAGTTAAACCACTGAGCTGCTGAACTTGTCTAGCAAAAGGTTGGTGGTTTGAATCTGGGTAGCGGCAGCTTCTGCCAACCTAGCAGTTCGAAAACATGCAAATGTGAGTAATCGATAGGTATTGCTCTGGTGGGAAGGTAGTGGCACTCCATGCAATCATGCTAGCTACATGACCTTGGAGGTGTCTTCGGATAATGCCGGCTCTTTGGTTTAGAAATGGAGATGAGCGCCACCACCTAGAATCGGACATGACTGGACTTAATGTCAGGGGAAAATCTTTCCCTTTTCTATATAGCTAGCTTTGGGGAGATAGGGTGAGTTATAAATAAAGTGTTATTATTATATTATTATTATTGGGCCGCATGGGGAAACATTAACACCCCTGCAGTGTTTCTTTTGCTGTCTGCGCTCTTGTTCAAAATTCACCTCACTTTCTGTCCATGTAATAATTAGATTTTGAAAAGTGTAGCTTGTTATGGAAACAAAGATTGGGGTAAAGCTTTAGTGGAGATACTTTTTCCCTATGATAACTTCTCCCTGAAGGGAATCGGGCGGCTTACATATGGCACAATGTGCCTAAAATAACGCATAATATAAACACACAATACAATAATTTAAGATCAAAACAGCCCCCAATAACCTATAATGAGAACTGTCATAAAACACGGCAACTGTAAACAGGAACAAGGGAATAGGATAGTGCAAGTTGTAGCTCATGAACTAGGACATGGGATGAAAGTGCAATGCTCTGTCATTAACTGCAGACCGAAGATAGGCAGGGCTCAATCCATTTAGGGCTTTGTAGGTGATGACCTGCACTTTGAATTGGGACTGGAAACTTATCGGTAACCAGTGGAGCTGTTTTAATAGGGTCATCGTTCGCTCCCTATAATTAGCTCCAGTTTGCAATCTTTAAGAACAGTTTCTGTCTTACTGTATTATGTTCCTGATTATTTTAGTAATTTCAAACTCACTAATAAGTATGATAAATTCCTTCATGTTCTCTGCAGTGGTATCCAGAGGTGCGGCACCATTGCCCCAACACCCCTATCATACTGGTGGGGACCAAACTTGATCTCAGAGATGACAAGGACACGATTGAAAAACTCAAGGAGAAGAAGCTGACTCCCATCACCTACCCACAAGGCCTTGCTATGGCAAAAGAGATTGGTAAGCCAGTTGCAGGGCTGTAGGAATTGAGTCAGGCTGGAGAGGGATCTCAGACTAAGTTCGGATAGAATCCTACAGTTGGAAGAGACCCCAAGGGCCATCCAGTCCAGCCCCCTCTGCTATGCAGGGGCAGACAATCAAAACACCCGACAGATGGCCATTCTAGCTTGTCAGTATCCACCGGTGGCGCAGTGGGTTAAACCCTTGTGCCGTTGGGACTGAAGACCGACAGGTCGGAAGTTCGAATCCAGGGAGAGCGTGGGTGAGCTCCCTTTGTCAACTCCAGCTCCCCATGTGGGGACATGAGAGAAGCCTCCCACAAGGATGGTAAAACATCAAAACATCCGGGTGTCCCCTGGGCAATGTCCTTGCAGACGGCCAATTCTCTCACACTAGAAACGATTTGCAGTTTCTCAAGCTGCTCCTGACATGAAAAATAATAGTATTCTTCTGGAGACACTATTCCAAGTGAGGGCTGATCAAGCAGAATGGAGCCGGACTATGACTTATACTATTTACGCAGGCTAGAATCACATTGTCTATTTTAGCCGCTGTGGATTTTAGCTTTGGATTTATGTTCAACTTGTCCACATAAGACTCATGGATCCCTTTCACATGGATTGTTGTTGAATCAAGTGCAACCCATCCTATATCTCTGCATTTCACTTGTATTGCCCAAATGTCCTACTGTAAATTTCTCCCTATTGAAAATCATTTTGTTTCTTTTGGCCCAACTCTAAATCTGTTGTGGTAATTTAGGATCCTAAAGTTATCCTCTGGAGTATTAGTTATCCCTTCCTGTGTGGCACAGGGAGCACCCGATGGCACAGTGGGTTAAACCGCTGAACTTGCCGACCTTCTGTATTCACAGACCTTGACCATTTGCAGCTTGAAAATATTCTAAAACAGGAACCTTTGTATAAGGTACACTGTTTTACTATAAGAGCCCCCTGTGGCGCAGTGGGGTAAACTGCTGAGCTGCTGAACTTGCTGACCGAAAGGTCGGCGGTTCGAACCCAGGGAGTGGGGTGAGCTCCTGCTGCTAGCCCCAGCTTCTGCCAACCTAGCAGTTCGAAAACATGCAAATGTGAGTAGATTAATAGGTACTGCTTTGGTGGGAAGACAATGGTGCTCCATGCAGTCATGCCGTCCATGTGACCTAGGAGGTGTCTACGTACAACGTCGGCTCTTTGGCTTAGAAATTGTGATGAGAACCACCACCCCGAGTTGGACACATTTGATTTCATGTCAGGGGAAACCTTTACCTTTTATTTATGGCTAGCTTTGGGGAGATAGGGCAGGTTATAAATAAAGTATTATTATTACATTATTATTATTATTGAATCACATGGGGAAGGGTTAACACCCCTGTAATGTTTGTTTTGCTGTCTGTTCTCCTGTTCAGAAGAGTTCACCTCACTTTCTGCCCCTGTGATGATTAGATTTTGAAAAATGTTATTATGGAAACAAGGATTGGTCACCACCGCCCAGAGTCGGCCACGACTGGACTTAATATCTAGGGGAAACCTCTACCTGTACTTCCTGTTTGGTCTCATTTGCCAGTGTGATGAGCATGCCTTCTCTTTGTGCAGGTGCTGTAAAATACCTAGAATGCTCGGCCCTGACGCAGCGGGGCCTCAAGACAGTCTTTGACGAAGCCATCCGGGCCGTGCTCTGCCCTCCTCCCGTAAAGAAGCGGAAGAGAAAATGCCTGCTGCTGTAATGATGCCCCGACCCCTTCTCCGAACCTTCTGTGCTTTGCTTGGAACAATGGAGCATTCACATCAATGCCAAGTTCTTCTGTTTTTAAAAAAATTAATTCTCTTCCATCAATTTTTTTCAACTTGTCATCAATTTCCTATGCCCCTTTGTTTAAGAGGTTAGATTCTTCTTTCTTCTACTAAAGAGATCCTAAAAAAAAGACAAACCTATATAAAAGCCTTATTTTCTTTCCATGTCCTTTTTGCTCAGATTAATCAAGTGTTGCCAAATTACCTGCTCATTACTATGTTGCATTGTTGTGCTTTGTTCTATGGAGCACAAAACCTGTTTTTTAAAAGTCAAACAGGTGTCTTTAAAGATACTAATGTTTATTAGGAATTGCAGAACTTTATAGTTTTTTTCCAGATATCGTATCAGTAGGAAAACGCTGCTGTTTCAGTGCATTCACATTCAACTGATGATCGTAATCTCCCTTTCTCATGCCTGAACAAATGCAATAATTGACAACATCCAGGTTCCACTATTTTTGAGGGGAGGAAAAAAAAACCCCTTTCTTGCTTCTATGGACTATAACTAAACTGTTTTTCCTTGAAGTGTATTGTCTTCCTTGACAGCAGCGTATTGTTTGGATGGATGAAAAGTTATCTTGTTCAAGGGAGATTTCCCAACAGTATTTTGACACTGTAAAGATCAATTTACACTACATTGTCAACGCCTAGTTCAATCAAATGCATTTCTCTCGTGTGTATTAAAACCAGTAAAACAAAACCCTCGGTTGCAGCAAAACAATAGATGAAGAGAGGGCTGGTGTTTTTATAGATCACTTGTTTGCATTTCCCAGTAGGGCATTCATTTACTACCATTTTGAACTGGTCATTCCCTCCCACCCTCTTGCTATTATATAGATGCTTTTATTCTGGAAATCTCTTCCTTCTGAGCAATATAACGTGTATTTTAGAACCTGAGTATATTTGCTTTTTTTTTGTAGACTAGAGTATTCCAGCATAGCCTTGTTTCTGTCTTGTTTCCCTCCTTCTACTTTGATATTCCTGCTTTGGAGAGGCTTTTCTTTTCAGTTGTCTGGTGACTTGGTGTAAAAATCATGTGCAGCAGATATATCACTCCTAGTAACTTTTTTTATATGTATATTTCACACCACCTTAATGACCTTTCTCTAATGTCACCATTTGCCAGGTGTTCTGACGCTGTAACTTTACTAATGTTGACAATTGCCCTCTTAACCTCGCCATGAACATGTATTTCCTGTTGGTTGATCTAGTTGCGGTAATTGGGTCTGTAACGTAGTGCTAACTAATCATGTTCCCGACATCCCAGAGGCTGGCAAGAACACACTGAATGACGACAACCTGTCGACTACTACTAGAACAAACAAACATTAAAAAAATGCGAGTTTGCAAGATTATGAAGTTTTTACATTGATCTTTTTGGTAATGCAATTTAGCAGTATGTTTTGCATGTATGACTTAATAAATTCTTGAATCACACTCGTGGTGGGACTTGGATTTCTAAAGTTCTGTTGATGTATGGCCTGTATCCCTATAGATCAGGGGTCCACAAACTTTTTAAACAGAGGGCCAGGTCACAGTCCCTCAAACTGTTGGAGGGCCGGATTATAATTTGAAAAAAAAAAATGAACGAATTCCTATGCACACTGCACATACCTTATAAACAATACAATAATTAAAATGAAGAATAACATTAACAAATATAAACTTATTAGTATTTCAATGGGAATACTGATTGTTGTTGTTGCTGTGTGCTTTCAAGTTGTTTCAGACTTAGGTTGACCCAGAGCGAGCGCTGGGTAAATGACCTTGGGGGCTGTATCCGGCCCCCGGGCCTTAGTTTGAGGACCCCTGCTATAGATGATGCTGGTGAAGCTTTGTTAGGATGGTTTGTCAGTATTTGACCTCAATTGGGGGGGGGGGGGTTGGCCTCCGCGTAGTTCTTGTGTATAGCTGACCTTTTGTATTCAATGGCTCTTGGAATCAAATCCCTGCGGATTTGATTCCAAGATATGGAATTGGAGTGGATCCTTTGGCAAGCATTTCGTAGGCTAGAGCACTACTTCTTAAATGATGGGTCCTGACTCCAAATGGGGTCCCTTTTGCGCAGTGTTGGGGTCCCAAAGATTTTGGCATCAGTAAATGTTTTCTGAGAGACACCTAGTGGCCTCCTTGCCCATAGGCCCCTATGGCCAACCTCCCCATAGAGCAGGCATGGGCAAGCTTTCTAACTTGGGAGCTGCATACAAACACTCCCTGCTAGGAGAAGGAAAGAGAGAAGGACGAAAGGGAGGAAGGGAAGGATGGAAGGAAGGAAGAAAAGAGAAGGAAGGAGAGACAAAAGGGAAGGTTGAAAATGTGGAAGGGAAAGAGGAAGGAAAGAGAGAAGGACGAAAGGGTGGAAGGGAAGGATGGAAGGAGAAAGAGAGGTAAGGAGGAAGGAAAGGAAGGAGTCACAAAAAGGAAAAGGTTAAGAAGCCCTGGGCTAGAGAAAAGGGGTTGCTTAATTCTGGGTTTGCCTTTAAAGGAACACACTATTCCAAACTTCGCTTACCTTAAATAACTAGCTCTCCTTCAGAAAGGAAGCGTTGATATTCCACATTTTTTCTAAGACCTTACATGACTAGAATCTGGGTTAGACTGCAGCCAGGAGAAGTCGTTCATTTTTAGTGCAACACACAGGATTTTGCAACACAGGCTAGAAAAGGCATGGGTAAACTTAGGCCCTCCGGGTGTTTTGGAGTTCAACTCCCACAATTCCTAACAGCCTCAGGCCCCTTCCTGAGGCTGTTAGGAATTGTGGGAGTTGAACTCCAAAACACCCGGAGGGGCCTAAGTTTATCCATGCCTGGGCTAGAAGGAACTTGCCTACTTTCTTTGAAACTTAATGTATTAAAAGCATTAGCCAGAACTCCAGTTCTGCATTTTCTTGAGAATTTCTCTCAAAAGTGTTCAAGAGGAGCCAGCATGAAATTGGGAGCCCTCTTTGCCCCCAAAATGATACTCCAAAGGACAAGGTTGAAGAGAGAAGCGTTCCGCCAGGAATAACAGGCTCATGATCATCATCTTGATTTTCAGAACAGAAACAAGGTCGTATGAAAATTTTATCACACCATAGTTCCAACACTAACACAAAATGGCTTAGTCTCAGTAATAAATAACCTTCATTGTTTCCTGTACACACACACACATTTTCACTGTACAAGGGTGTGAAATGCTTTTACAACCAAGGTTTTGATCAGACCAGTGTTTCTGAACCTGGGAGTTGCGACCTCTTGGGGGGGGGGGGTGATGAGGGGTATCATAGGGGTCACCAAAGACCATCCGAAAACACAGTATTTTCTGTTGATCATGGGGTTCTGTGTGGGAATTTTGGCCCAATTCTATCATTGGTTGGATTCAGAATGCTGTTTGATTGTAGATGAACTATAAATCCTAGCAATTACAACTCCCAAATGTCAAGGTCTGTTTTCCCCAAACTCTACCAGTTGGGGCATATTGAGTATTCGTGCCAAGTTTGGTCCAGATCCATCATTGTTTGAGTCCACAGTGCTCTCTGGATGTAGGTGAACTACAACTCCCAAACTCAAGGTCAATACCAACCAAACCCTTCCCAGTATTTTCTGTTGGCCATGGGAGTTTTGTGTGCCAAGTTTGGTTCAATTTCATCATTGGTGGAGTTCAGAATGCTCTTTGATTGTAGGTCAACTATAAATCCCAACAATTCTCAAATGGCAAAATCAATCCCCCTCAACCCCACCAGAATTCAAATTTGGGCGTATCGGGTTTTTGTGCCAAATTTGGTTCAGTGAATGAAAATACATCCTGCATATCGCATATTTCCATTATGATTCATAGCAGTAGTAAAATTACAGTTATGAAGTAGCAATGAAAATAATTTGATGGTTGGGAGTCATCACAACATGAGGAACTGTATGAAGGGGTCGTGGCATAAGGAAGGTTGAGAAACACTGGATTAGACTAAGCTGCTCGGACAACTCTTCGGGGTTTTCCTCACGAAACATGTCCTTGCTTAGAATATGGGGTTTCAACCCTTTAAAAATTAAATATGTATTTATCAGGGCTGAAAACCTGTAAACAAAGAGAACAAATATTGCATATGTATCCTAAGTATTCGTTAAGCAGGAAAGTAAACCAAATATTTCTGACATCCATGGTAGTGCAATGAAAGGCGCAAAGCCCAGCTCACCTTGCTGGGACCTTTGTGTCTATCCAGGCAGTCGATAGAGTTGTCTTGAACTTAAATGTTCATTTCCTGCTAGTGGTTTTTATTTCCGAGTTGACAAGTGCTTCTAAAACCTGCAGGTCTGTCCAGTTCTATCAGGCAAGCACAAATGAAAGGAGGCCCAATGCCTTCCGCGTCACTACTATCCCAAAGCGAAGTCCACCGTAGCCACTCTCTTCTATCTCCCTGCTCATCAAATTCACTCCTGCAGAGCTCTGGATTATGCTTAAAATCCACAATTGGCTCCTTTGCTCCAGTGAAACCGAAGGGTGCCACCTTCAAAATGACATGATACATTAAACAGCCCAGAATGACGGCCGCAGCGTGAAGTGTGTTGTGTGCTCATCATCCAGGAGTTATAAAAACAGCATCAACCTCTATGCCAGTCATGATTTCAGGACAGAGGGGCTGCTGCTCTCGCAAACAGATACATGGCCGCTGTTTCCCTAAGTCTACAGTTATACAATGTTCACGGAGGAGTCTCCTTGTGCTTGACAGGAAAGGAAAGACGTGTTGGCTTGAATAAGACTGTCGAGGGCTTTGAGGACGACATCCGGCATGTGATCTGTCAACATCTTGGGGCTGATTAAAATGTTACCAAAGGCAGTTTCTTTTGACCAGTTGGCAGTGTACCTGACGTCTGAAGAGCACCACCTGCAAAAAGGGACAAGAGGTGTAAGATGTGAGCATCTCTGTCCCATTATTATTATTATTATTATTATTATTATTATTATTATTATTATTATTATATACACAACAAGATCACTCTGCTGGCTTTTGTATTGGTTCACATGCCTGACACTTCCCAAGTGTCTACGACTGTGTGATGTATCGGCGAATAATGCGTGCAGATCTGAATAGGGTGGCCTTTTGCAGCTGACATATGGTAATTTTTTCAGATTTTTTAAGTGCAGGCCAAGGTCTTTACGCACTACACCCAGTGCACCAATCCCCACCTTGACTGGCTTGAACAAGATCACTATGCTGGCTTTTGTATTCGATCACATATTGGACACTTCACTCTCTAGGAATGTGTGATGTATCGGCGAATAATGCCTGCAGATCTGAGTAGGGTGGCCTTTTGCAGCTGACAGATGGTAATTGTGTCAGCACCGACTGTTTTTAAGTGCACCCAGTGTATCAATCCCCACCTTGACTGGCTTGAGCAAGATCACTATGGTGGCTTTTGTATTCAATCAAACATTAGACACTTCACTCTCTAGGACTGTGTGATGTATCGGCAAATAATGCGTGCAGATCTGAGTAGGGTGGCTTTTTGCAGCAGACAGATGGTAATTGTGTCAGCACCGACTGTTTTTAAGTGCAGTCCAAGGTCTTTAGGCACTGCACCCAGTATGCCAATCACCACTGGGATCACTTTGACTGGCTTGTGCCACAGTTTTAGCAGTTCGATCTTCAAATCCTCATATCATGTCAGCTTTTCCAGTTTCTTCTTGTCAATTTGCTGTTGCCTGGGATTTTAACACTGATAATCCACACTTTGGTTTTTTTTTCACAATCGTGAAAATTAATTATAATTATTATTATTATTATTATTATTATTATTATTATTTATAATAATAATAATTATAATGATATTAATATGATTCTTATGTATATTTATATATTTATATCCTGCTTGCTTTCTCTACAAAAGAGACTCTAAGCGGCTTACAGTAAACCAAAGAAAATACAATTTAAAACCTAAAAGTATACAAACATAAAAATACAATTAAATATTCGTGCTCTTAAAAAGTAAATAGTTAAAATCCCTAAAGACTTCCAGTTCAGTGCAGCAAGAAGCAGGGACAAGCATTTACCTACCTATTCTATGGTAAGGGCTCACTGCACACAAGTGCTCTTGAAAGGCCACCATATTGATCCCCAAACTCTTCACTGGTCTGCGTTGCCTAAACAGATTTGTCTCCAGCTGGGAAAATTAACCTCTCTGCCTGGGAGATTATGAGGGTTTTAGTCCAAAAGACATATTTCACTTCGTATTGAATCTAGAACACTCGACTCGTACTCACATACCTCTTTGTCTGAAGACTACAAATATTTGAAGACTACAAATATCTTCAGATTTGGACCAAGCCCATGTTCTTGCCTTCTTACCTCCCCATTGTCATGGCTTAGCCTCCAATCCAATGAGGAATACTTTGCTACTGCTTTGTGACACAGAACAGTATTATTCGGCTGTCAAAACGTACAAAAAATATTTCTGCCAAAGGGATCAATACAAATTGATGCAAATTAATGGTTTGAGGTACTTGCTTAAGTACTAGTTTAAAAAGTAACCAATATAAAACATCTCTGTTTACTATTAATAAAAAAATCCTGTATAAATATGTGAAAGGAAGTCATAGGGAGGAGGGAGCAGGCTTCCTTTCTGCTGCCCTGTAGACTAGGATGCAGAACAATGGTTTCAAACTACAGGAAATAAAGGAGATTCCACCTGAACATGAGGAAGAACTTCCTAACTCTGAGAGCTGTTCAGCAGTGGAACTCTCTGCCCCGGAGTGTGGTGGTGGCTCCTCCCTTGGAGGCTTTTAAACAGGCTGGATGGCCATCTGTCAGGGGTGCTTTGGTAGTGATTTTCCTGCTTTTTGACAGGGAGGAAATAGAGTTAGAAGAGATGACCCACAAGGTCTCTTCCAAACTTTTTAACTGTGAGAGCTGTTCAGCAGTGGTGGTGTAGGCTTTTAAACGGAAGCTGGATGGCCATCTGTCAGGAGTGCTTTGAATGTGATTTTCCTGCTTCTTGGCAGGGGTTGGACTGGATGGCCCACAAGGTGTCTTCTAGCTCTATGACACTATGATTCTATGCAGTTTCAATATAAAAAATAAATATAATATTCTCCATAATATCATATTCATATCTGCTTCGATTTTTTTCAGGTTGGACCAGCACATTTATTGCCATCTAGTTTTCAGTTTTCTATTAAAAGAGTGCATTTCCTGCCAGGGCAGACAGGGAAGGGAAGTTTAGAAATCACAGAGAGAGAGACAGTAAACTGATCTCTCTCGAAGACCATCAAGCATTTTGACTGGTTTCTGGCATGTATTGTGACCACAGCCTGCAACAGGCAGGTTAACAAGTCAATGCCAGAGTCACTTCCTTGAGGACAGAAAGTGACTTAGAAGAGTCATGTCTGCTGCCTCAGAGATGTGAAATGATAGCCTCAAGTGGACAATCACTCTCTGAAATGTTTTCTTGATGCCAAAGAGAGGCCAAAAGTATCTTGTGCTAGCAAACACGGTTCTTAAAATAGAAGCAGTTTTACGAAATCGACAGAAAATTGAGACAGGGAAGTAGCAACGGTTTTGCTACACATAACAAACATAGAATCATAGAATCCTAGAGTTGGAAGAGACCTCATGGGCCATCCAATCCAACCCCATTCTACTTGTCACAATCCCCATTGACTAAAAAGTGGTTTATAAATATTTTTTAAAAACCCCAATGTTTTGAATATGTAAACAACTAGGTACTTATGTATTCTCGAAGGCATTCAAGGCTGGAATCACTGGGTTGCTATGAGTTTTCTGGGAGGTATGGCCATGTTCCGGAAGCATTCTCTCCTGATGTTTTACCCACATCTATGGCAGGCATCCTCAGAGGTTGTAAGGTCTGTTGGAAACTAGGGGGTTTATATATCTGAGGAATAATGTCCAGGGTGGAAGAAAGAACTCTTGTCTGTTTGAGGCAGGCGTGAATGTTGCAATCGGCCAGTTTAGCACTGAATGTCCTTGCAGTTTCAAGGTCTGCCTGCTTCCTGCCTGGGGAAATCCTTTGTTGGGAATCCACAAGCATGTGGACAATTTCAATAGAAAGGAGGAAACTATGATAATGAACAAAATCTGGGTTGTTGCAGTTTTTTTTGGACTATATGGCCATGTTCTAGAGGCATTTTCTCCTGACATTTCATCCTCAGAGGTAGTGAGGACTACCTCTGAGGATGCTTGATATAGATGCAGGCAAAACATCAGGAGAAAATGCCTCTAGAACATGGCCATATAGCTCGAAAAAATCCTGCAACAACCCAGTGATTCCGGCCATGAAAGCCTTTGACAATACATTAAACAAAATCTGACTACCAATATTTTAAAAAACTATAAAATCAAAAGATTAAATAAAGAACAACACTCAAAAACAAGGGAATTCCAGACAAGAAACAATCAGGGCCAGCTAATCACCTTCCAACAAAGGACTTCCCTGGGCAGGAAGCAGCCAGACCTTGAAATTGCAAGGCCATTCAATGCTAATCAAGGTGGCCAATTGCAACAATCAGGGCCAGCTAATCACCTTCCGACAAAGGACTTCCCTGGGCAGGAAGCAGCCAGATCCTAAAATTGCAAGGTCATTCAATGCTAATCAAGGTGACCAATTGCAACATTCACATCTGCTTCAAACAGGCATTCCACAGATATACAAACCCCACTTTCCTAGTTTCCAACAGACCTCAAAACCTCTGAGGATGCCTGCCATAGATGCAGGTGAAATGTCAGGAGAGAATGCTTCTGGAACACGGCCAGACAGCCCGGAAAACTCACAGCAATCCAGACTAGGTTCTTAGTGCTTCTTCAGGTGATTTGCCCACTGAGCCAAGGAAAACTGCTTAAATATTCAAAACAACAAGGCACTTGGTAGCATGTGAAGAGAAAAGAGGGAAGTGAAGAGAGAAAGGAGGGGAAGCGAAACAGACTGGAGAGCTCAAAAGTGGAAGCCAAGCGAGACATAAAGGGTGGCTGTGGTTTTTTAGCACACGTGGCAGGATTTGAAATACTATGGGACCTTTTTCTGTATGGACAAAATGCTTGAGATGGATATGCTTCCAAACCCAGAATACTGTTCCTTTGTCTTGAGCATCCCTGCTTCTCTGACCCTTTTCTGATGGCCAACACACATCCATGCTCTCTTCATTGTTCCAACCGTTGTTAAACATATTTGAACTTCCTTGAATGCAAAATGCTAATTCAGGGGTCAAAAGAGGAGCAGGATGCCTAGCAGTTTACCTTCTTGTGCTGTTTTCCTCCACAATGTGAATGATTCTCCCAGGAAGAAACAGGTGAGGATACTGCGGAGGAGAGTTTAAAGGTGAGTCGTCATCCAGGCTGTTGTAAGAAGGTGACCGGTGGACCATGAGGCTCTCTTCGGCCAGGAGAGGCTGGGCCAAAGCCAACTCATTCCGGCCGTCCAGTTCGGTGGGAAAGTTATCCGGTTCCCCTCCAAACACTTCGTACCAACAGCCATGCAGCAAGATCTGGTACTGTGTGGCAACAAAAGGGAACAAAGAGAACAGATGGGAAGTGGTGAAACCATTTGTCTATGTGGGATCACATCCAAATCGGGAAGAACACTAGCACACACAACAATTCTGCTCCATTCTTCCAAGACATACAGGGCCGAAGTAAGCTCCCAACCATTAATAGTCTAGCTTGCTGTTGACCTCTGCAGCCCGAAAGACAGTTGGATCTGTCAGGTAGGAAATTTAGGTACCGCTTAATGCGGGGAGGGTAATTTAAGTAATTTATGACACCATAAAACCTTCCAGCAGTGTGCAGAAGAATGAGGAAGTACTCCATCAAGGGACCTGGTGTCACAAGTGGACGGTGAACCGGCAGCTCCCCCTGTGGCCGGAACCAAGCATACCCTCATGAAGTTGGAAAAAGCTGGAATGTTAAATTGCCTCTGTGTCTGTCTATATATTTTCTTGTCCTACCTCATCCAGGGTTTTATCATTTTACCTCGTCCATTTGGCCCGCCCATTCTGTTTGATTTTATATTGTGTTAACTTGCTTTAGTTATTTTATTTTGCTACTGTACATATTTTATTTTGATGTAATTTTGTTGTCTGCATCTTGTATTTTATTTTGCTGTATTGCACTTTTGGGCTTGGCCTTTTGTTACCCGCCCCAAGTCCCCTTTTATTAATTTTATTGTTATATTATTATTATTATTATTATTATTATTATTATTACTATTATTAAGGACACAACAAGATGAGTCCACAGCAAACAAGATCACTCTGCTGGCTGTTGTACTGGATCACACATCGTACAGTGGCTAGGATTCTGTGATGTATCGGCGAATAATGCGTGCAGATCCCAGTAAGGTGGCCTTCTGCAGCTGGCAGATGGTAATCTTGTCAGTGCATATTGTATTTAAGTGCAGGCCAAGGTCTTTAGGCACTGCATCCAGTGTGCCGATCACCACTGGGACCACCTTTACTTGTTTGTGCCAGAGTCTTTGCAGTTCAATCTTTAAATTAATATTATTATTATTATTATTATTATTATTATCATCATTATTATTATTATGTCTAAATGGCACTGAATGTTTGCCATGTATATGTGCATTGTAATCTGCCCTGAGTCTCCTGCAGGGTGAGAAAGGCGGAATATAAATACTGTAAACAAACAAACAAACAGTGATGACGGTCCTTCAAAAATTCCCTGCCTACAGGATGTACCTCAGATCAAAAAGCGAAATCTCAAGACAAGTCACTAGTGATGAAGAGTCGTCTTGTGCAATCAGTGGCCAGGGAACAGGGCAAACTAGCCAGGCGACGTCCAAGGCAGCCAAGGTGGCAAAGTCCACAAGTCTCATGGAGGAAAGGGGAGTCAGATCAATTTTTCTCATGAATCGATCCAGGATTTACACTCCTATCCCTAACCTATTCTGCTCCATGAAAAACAGAGTTCAAAGTGTGTTGTCAAAGGCTTTCATGGCCAGAATTACTGAGTTGTTTGTAGGGCTTGAGATCTGCTGGGAGATGGGAAGATGTGGAAGGAATTGTGTGTGGAGCTAAAGCACAGGGAGACTCTGGACCATTTGCACTATACTTGCAAAACCACAACTTCCTCATCACAAGGACCAAGTAACAGACACAGCCATACTTAAACTCCTTATTTACCATTTCCTTTCTGCTGAACCCTTTTTTGAAAAAGAAAACTGCACAAATCCAAGTTTGACAGGGTTAAATTCATGAGTTGACAACTTGGTACAAAGTACACTTCTTTACAAATGGAACTAACGGCATATGATTTAAAACCGCAGTGTTCAAACTTTGGTCCTCCAGTTGTTTTGGACTTCGGTTCCCAGAATTCCTGGCTATTGGATAAGTTGGGAGTTGGAGTTCGAAATTCCTGGAGGGCCACAGGTTGTAGGCTACAATTTTAAAACTTTTTGTCTTTTAAGGCAATGTTTCTCAGACTTTAGCCTTCCAGATGTTTTTCGAAGCATTAATTTTATTTACATCCATATATTCTGATATGTGGAGCCCTGGTGATGCAGAGGTTTAAGCTGCTGAGCTGCTGAAATTGCTGACCAAAAGTTTGGCAGTTGGAATCTGTGGAGCGGGGTGAGCTCCAGCTGTTAGCCCCAACTTCTGTCAACCTAGCAGTTTGAAAACATGCAAACAGGCAGGAAGGTAACAGCTCTCCATGCAGTCATGATGACCACATGACCTTGGAGAGGTGTCTACAGACAACGCAGGGTCTTTGGCTTAGAAATGGAGATGAGCATCACCCCACAGAGTCGGACACGATTAGACTTAATATCAAGGGGAAACCTTTATCTTTTTTCTGATATGCCAAACTCTAATGGGCTTATAACATGAATTCAAACTATTATTTATTTATGACATTTATATACCGCCCTTCTCACCCCGAAGGGTGAGAACGGCTTACAAGATATATATACATACAATATATTATATTACTAGCATAGTACAGTATTAGTAATAAATATTATTACATTGTACTACACCATTATATTGTAATATTATTATAATATTACATGTAATATAAATATATAATATCATATTATTAGTAGTATTATATTGTATTACATTATAATATTATAAATATTATATGTATATACAATTTATTATATTATATTATGCTTATATTGTATTACATTATAATATTATAACAATTATATGTATATATAATATATAACATTACATTACATTATATTATTAGCATAGCACTACATACTATATACAGCAAGGGAGATGTCAAAAAAGATGTACGAAAAAAGTGAGAATCCAAAGCTGGGTAACCAAGCCCTGCTTAAATGCCTCACTGTGGCAAAACACCTGTGGTTTTGTTTCAGTGTTTACCTTGGGTCTGTTACAATTGGCCACGATTCTAATGATTCTTCTCTTCAGGTCTTCCATGTTGGGCATACTTAACCTAGAATGCAGAAAGGGCAAAAGCAGTGCTCAGGTTCTCCACCAAAGAGGACTCGTTTCAAGTTGGGTCACACAACAAACCATGTACAGCCTTACCTTGGAACAACGTCTTTTCCAAGAATGATTGAAATAATGAACTGCTTAGAGTAGTCCGCAAGTGATTTACTTAAAAAGAAAAAAGGAGAAACAACACAACCAAGTAAATTGATAGGAGGCTTTGTTTGAGCATGTAAGAAATCAGTTAGTGTGTGTGTGTAAAATAAGATGCACAAAGCTGATTGGTCAGGCTATGCCTGGGGAGATGGCTGAGCCTGGGACTTTTGGATACCTTTACATTTTTCAGGCTTGAGCTATGCAGGTTCTGGCAGAGAAGCAGAGAGAAGCACAGAGAGTGGAGTGTGCTCTTGCTTAATGAGCTGCTGGAGGAAGATTCTCTCCACATGGACAAAGAAAGACCATTTTAAATCTCTCTAAAAGGACATTATGTGAGTCGATGTAACTTTTTTTTTCATGTCAGGAGCGACTTAAGAAACTGCAAATTATTTCTGGTGTGAGAGAATAGGCTGTCTGCAAAGACGTTGCCCAGGGGATTCCCAGATGTTCTGATGTTTTACCATCCTTGTGGGAGGCTTCTCTCATGTCCCCACATGAGGAGCCAGAGCTGACAGAAGGAGCTCATCCGCACTCTCCTTGGATTCGAACCTGCAACCTGTCGGTCTTTAGTCCTGCCGGCACAAGGGTTTAACCCACTGTGCCATCGGGGACTCCTACTGATCACATGATTGTATTTATGTTTTTCTGAACTACGAAGAGTAAACTACTTGCTCTTTACTGTTCATCTGCATGGCATATTTTCTTTCTCTGGCAAGGCAGTGTGTGGGGTGATCAAAAGTGAACAACACACTATTTTCATTTCGTCACAGGCTTCAGTAACTAAAATACTCATTAATCTTTTACAAGGGCTATAAATTCTTGAGTCAATTTTTCAACCATATTCTCCTGCTGTATGCACAACTTCATTATATTAAGCAAGCTTAATTTAATGAATTGTGGATCTCTCCATGGATTTCTGTTTTTGAACCAAGATAAACAACTGTTTAGGATTTACCTCAACAGACCTCCTGGTGGAGAAAAAGCATAACACTTCAGGTTTGGGAAAGCGTTTTTGAGCATGATCGCCAAGATGGAGGCCGTTCCTCCTCCTAAACTGTGCCCCACGACAACCAGTTTATATTCCTAAAGATGGGAGGAGAAAAAGAAAAGAAAGAACCATGGTAGACATCCACACAAAATCATCAGCTCTTTTTATCAGGACTATGCTATGACATCTGCAAGGTCACAACTTACAGGAGCGATGGTGAAGGCTTGGTTCAAAATGCCATCATTGATTAGTCTCTGGTAAATGTAGTTGGCAGCCTGGGTGATTCCCTAGGAGGCAAGAGTGTGAGATGTCACAAGCGGTTTCATCAGTTGACAAAGTTGGTGAAGGTCCTCCATTGTCGGACATAAATATGATGGGTTGCTGTGAGTTTTCCGGGCAGTATGGCCATGTTCCAGAAGCACTCTCTCCTGATGTTTGGCCTACATCTATGGCAACCATCCTCAGAGGTTGTGAGATCTGTTGGAAACTAGGCAAGTGGGATAATGTCCAAGGTGGGAGAAAGAACTCTTGTCTCTTGGAGTTAAGTGTGAATATTGCAATTGGCCAACTTGATTAACACTGAATAGCCTTGCAGCTTCAAAGCCTATATTCTCTGGCCAATCAAGCAGATTTAAGCTGTGACTGAAAGGAATATGGGATGGGCTTTCTCAGTTTGTGGCATCCAAACCACGGAACCTACTGACCCCATGCAATGTAATTGCCTCCCTTTTTCTGTCCTTTTTGTCCAGAGATGGACAAAATGTAATAAACCTCCCCATCTGCCTCTTTATTTTTTCTCTCTTATTTTTGTTTTAATCATGGATGATATCTCCCTTGAGTTTTTTGTTTTCAGAAGGAAAGGAAGGGAATATTTTTTAATGAGACTGTACACAGGGCATAGCATCCTTGGCTGGTTCTCATATTTTATTATTTCTTAAGCCAGGAGCTGTAACTTCAATCCCACAATAATTTCTTATTTCACTTAAGAGCATTCGTTTTTCCCCCAACTCAAAACTCAAGAATATATTACTTGCTGACCTTATGTACCAGACCGTTTTCCAGGACATCTTCTAAAGTTAAATTTTCACAATCTGCTGACAGGTCTGTGAGGACATCCTGGAGATAAAACAAAGGAAGCAAAAGTCAAGCATTTTCATTGCTTGAAAGATACCTCGACTGCAAAAGTCTGCTGTCAACAGTTATCTTTCCAGAGATTAAATAATCTGTCATCAGAAGACAGAGGATTTTAACAGCAAGATATTTTCTGGGAGGAAGTTTAATAAATAAGAAAGTAAGTAATATATATGTAATAGTTTCCACAAGTAATTGAATTATAATATAATAATAATACTTTATTTGTATTCCGTCCTATCTCCCCGAGGGGACTCAGAGCAGATTCCAGCATACACAGACATAAAGGCAAACATTCAATGCCTAGAAACAACAAAACACAGATAAAGATAATGGCTTCCCCTTCTGGCTCTGAAGAGTGGTGCTCATCTCCATTTCTAAGCCAAAGAGACGGCATTGTCCATAGACGCCTCAATGTCATGTGACCGGCATGACTGCATAGAGTGCCATTGCCTTCCTGCAGAAGTGGTACCTATTGATCTACTCGCATTTACATGTTTTCGAACTGCTAGATTGGCAGAAGGTGGGACTAATGGTGGGAGCTCACCCCGTCCTGCGGATTCGAATTGCCAACCTTCCAGTTAGTAAGTTCAGCAGCTCAGCAGTTTAACCCATGGCGCAAATGATTATCTATCTTTTTTTTTCATCTACAAACATCTATCTAAAATAGTAAGTGCAAAGTGGCATAAAACATGCAACTAAATACTACCTCAAATGACAAGGTTCCTCTCACAGCTACGACAATGGCCTCTTTTTTGTGATCCAAAGCAACGAAGAACGGTATCTCATAAATCTGGAAACAGAAGGAACATGTTATAAATGCCTGGCAGATTCCATGCCAGATAACACTAATGGTCTTTTTAGCATAGCACTACATGACATGGTGCCACTTAGTACCATTTAAGATGGATGGTTTTATATGCTGAAACAATGTCCTCCTGCTACCATCAAAGGAGAGGCAGCCTTGATCCTACAAGAGCCATGCTGTGTTGATCCCATTATTTATTTACAGTACTAGATGTCCCCTGCCACGCATTGCTGTGGCCCAGTCTGTGTATATGTGCTTTGTGTATGTGTATATATTTATGTATATGTGTATATATGTGTATTTGCATTTATATACGTGGTTTTGCACATGTGTTGTTATATATATATATACACACACACACACACACACACACACACACACATGCTTTTTAAGTCTCTTCTGCTGTGTTTTTCAGTGTTTTTGTGAGTGATGGTCACTCGTTGACCTGATACGTGTATTGCATCCAAATTTGGTGTCCATTCGTACAGTGGTTTTTGAGTTATATTAATCCCACAAACAAACATTACATTTTTATTTATATAGATTTATATTCCGCCTGTCTCTCCCCAAAAGGGACTCAGGGCGTATCACAGAACACATATGCAGCAAACATTCAATGCTGTTATACACTGACAAGACTGACAACTATACATAGATAGAGGTATATATATAGGCTTTCCCATCTTCAGCAACTTGGAGGCTTGAGCTTGTTTCCAGCCACAGGGGGTGCTGTCACTACATCTTCCCTGCCGAAGAGTTTTGTTTGTAAACGTCCTCCTTGATTGAATTGCAGGCATTTTCTGGCATTTCCTTATGGGTGCCTTAAATACCTTCCTGCTTTAAGTGGTACATATTTATGTACTCACATTTTACTTCCAAACTGCTAGGTAGGCAGAAGCTGAGCTAAAGGCTAAAAGCTCACCCTTAGCTGGCTTCAAAGTGTCATCCTTTTGATCGGCAAGATTTACTGCAGCTGGTGGTTAACCTGCAGTGCTAAAGCCCGGCAAATAACACTAACGGTCTTTTTAGCATAGCACTATATGACATGGTGCCATTTACTACCACTTAAGATGCTGAAATATATGTTGAAATAACATCCTCTTGCTATCACCAAAGCAGAGGCAGCCTTGATCCTACAAGATTCTCTGGACAAGCTGGAATGTGTCCAGAGGAGGGTGATTAAAATGATCAAGGGTGTGGAGAACAGGCCCTATGAGGAGCGGCTTAAGGAGCTGGGCATGTTTAGCCTGAAGAAGAGAAGGCTGAGAGGAGATATGATAGCCATGTATAAATATGTGAGAGGAAGTCACAGGGAGGAGGGAGAAAGCTTGTTTTCTGCTGCCCTGGAGACTAGGATGCAGAACAATGGCTTCAAACTACAAGAAAGGAGATTCCATCTGAACATTAGAAAGAACTTCCCGACTGTGTGAACCATTCAGCAGTGGAACTCCCTGCCCTGGAATGTGGTGGAGGCTCCTTTTTTGGAAGCTTTTAAACAGAGGCTGGATGGCCATCTGTCGGGGGTGCTTTGAATACAATATTCCTGCTTCTTGGCAGGGGGTTGGACTGGATGGCCCATGAGGTCTTTTCCAACTCTTTGATTCTATGATTCTAAGAGCCATGCTGCGTTGAAAACGGACGTTTCAAGCTTGAAATGTTTCACAGACATTCTGCTTTGGTCAAATGGCTTACATCAAAGTCCCAGAGAGATCAGAGTACAAGCAGGGTGTTTCTAAGAAGGAATTTGCTAGAATGTTTACCTTATTGTGAAAGCTCATGTGAATGAAATCTCTGTATTGCAGCCCTGTCATTTTTAAGATGGATCCAAAATGCATGTTGAAACGGTCATCGCCGATGATATCAGTCTCTACTGGGCTCCTTCTGCAGCTTAGAAGGGGAAAACGAGACGTGAAAAAAATCAAAACATTATAGAAAAGAGCAGCCTTGTATTATATGAAGAAGAAGAAAAAACCAATCAGTGACTACATCATAGAAATTACTTATTTCTCTGTTAAGAGAAAAAGAGGCACAATAGCAACAACATCTATTTCATGGCACTGAAATTATTTTTTAAAGAAAACCTTAACTCCTTTCTCATACCCCCATAAACAAGTTATGAATCTAAACACATATTGTATATACTTGAGTATAAGCCGACCAGAATATAAGGCAAGGCACCTAATTTTACCACAAAAATAACTGGGAAAACGTATTGACTCAAGTATAAGCCGAGGGTGGGAAATGCAGCAGCTACGGGTAACTTTCAAAATAAAAATAAATACCAATAAAATGACATTAATTGAGGCATCCGTAGGTTAAATGGTTTTGAATATTAACCATACATACAATTGTAATTTAAGATAAGACTGTCCAAATCTGATTAAACCATTATTCTAACCTTCTTCAATGTAAATGTGCTTACGTATCCTTCCAATAATAATAGAGTAATATAATAAATGTAATTTTTAAAATAGAGTAAAATAATGGAAATGTAACCACAGTAATAATAGAGTAAAATAATGAATGTACTAACAATAATAAATAGAGTATAGAGTAAAATAATAAATGTAATAATAATAATAAATAGAGTAAAATAATGGAAATGTATCCACAGTAATAAAAGAGTAAAATAATAAATGTAATAATAATAATAGAGTAAAATAATGAATGTAATAATAACAATAATCAGTGTAAAATAATAAATGTAATAATAACAATAGTAGAGAAAAATAATAAATGTAATAATAATAATAATAGAGTAAAATAATAGATAACCTTGACTCGAGTATAAGACGAGAGGAGCTTTTTCAGCCTAAAAAACGGCTAAAAAACTAAGCTTATACTTGAGTATATATGGTACTTTGAAATTGGATTTCATCTGCTGAATTATGGAAAATGAATTCTAGCAGGCAAATCCTCAAACAGATCCTTTTCAAATGTTACATGTGTTATTGCTCAACAGGCTTCTACATTCAACAGTAATAGTAAAGTTTTATGTAATTTAATAGATTTGTTTGATGGTTTTATTGCTTTTGGCTATGCATCTTTAATATTTCTATGTTTAATTCTATGTTAATGTTTATATGTGTTAGGTTTTAATTCACACATTGTGGTGGTTTTCAGTGTTAGCTGCTTTGAGTCTCCTTTGGCAGAGAAAAGGTGGGGTAAACATAATAATATAAAAGTTACGGCTACTAATACTACTAATACTACTAATAACAACTTACTATACTTTTTAATTTGTAGGCCAACCTACCAGTCACCTTTAAGCTTACAGAGTCCTGTAAAGGGGTTTGTCATGATATAGTAGGGCCAACCATAGGTAGCTGCAGCAAACTTCATATAATGAGCAGCATTTTCCAGTTCTTCGTCCAAATCATTTGCCTGGGAAATGGAGACAAAATGCAATCTGTAGCAGCCTGTCGTTTCTGGTACAAAATAGTGGGTGGGAGTTGGGATACAGAAACATCTGGGAGGCTGCAGTGTGTTCTGTTTAGTCAGGAAAGGGGGGGGGGTCAGGAAAGGGGGGGTTGAATTTAGCTACAAGGCTTGTGGATAAGATAAAGGTAAAGGTTTCCCCTTGACATTAAATCTAGTTGGGTCCGACTCTGGGGGTTGGTACTCATTTCTATTTCTAAGCCTAAGAGCCAGCATTGTCCACAGACTCCTCCAAAGTCATGTGGCCGGCATGACTGCATGGAGCGCTATTACCTTCCTGCTGGAGTGGTACCTATTGATCTACTCGCATTTGCATGTTTTTGAACTGTTAGGTTGACATAAGCTGGGGCTATCAACAGGAGCTCACCCTGTTCTCCAGATTCGAACTGTCAACCTTTTGGTCAGCAAGTTCAGCAGCTCAGTGGTTTAACCTACTGTGCCACTTGAACAGTAATATAATCCAGAAAATCAAGGCAGATAATCCAAAATATCTGCTTTGAATTAGGTTATCTGAGTCCACACTGTCATATAACCCAGTTCAAGGTGGATTTTATATAGCTGTGTGGAAAGGGCCTCTGTTTTCTGAAGCAACAGATGCTGAGAGGCAACAGGAACTGGGAGGAAAGAGCTCTCTGTCCCTTTAAGGAAGGTAGCTGCTTTCATGTGAGTGAATGGCTGAATGGCACTGTCTCATCACCTGTATTGGAGGATTCAACAGTTCATCCCAGTGGGCTTTTACACAGGCAAAATGCCTGGAGATGGCCCTGATAGAGGAAGCTCATCCACCGCTCCCTGGATTCGAACCTGTGACCTGTCGGTCTTCAGTCCTGCCAGCACAGGGGTTTAACCCACTATGCCACTAGGGGCTGTCTCATCATTAATATTGGAGGATTCAACAGTTCATCCCAGTGGGCTTTTACACAGGCAAAATGCCTGGAGATGGTCCTGAGAAACGTACCACAGGAGACAGTGGCGACTGGGTGAGAACATCATCAGGCTCTTTAGGACAGTTTTCCACTTTATCTTGCTCCTGGTGAAGCAGGGTCAGGCCTGCTGCCACATCGCTAGGCACCAAGTCAGTGTCCTGAAGAGAAAAAAAGAAACACATTACAGTAGGATTAGCGGGGGGGGGGGGTGTCAATGCATTCTGTGCAGCTTCTTGGAGAGGAAAGATAAGAACTGGGTTGTTCAAGCCTCAACTGTCATTCCTCAAATGTCATTCTTTTAAATTGCATTCTAAACAGTCACTAAATCAGTCACATGATCTGCAGCCCCTCCCACTGCCTGAAATATACAGAGCTAATAAAACTGCAAACCAAAAAAGACATACACTTCAGGAAATTAACCAACACATTATAAACAGACAAAGCATTAAATAGAGGAGGCTTGAGAAGGTTGTTAGCTCCAACACCAATAGTTTTTGTGGGATATAATTTCCTTTTCCTGCCTGTTGCTTTTTGCTTCTCAAACTCTCAAAGAAGTCCTAACCAGAGCTAGGAAAATACTCTTAATGTGTGTATTAAAGGCTCCAAACAAATAGAAACCTATATATGAAAAAAAATCCAGCAAAACAAGTTCTTCTGATCGTTTTTCACTGCAGAATTACTGTAGAAGAGAAATGCCTCTCAGGAACGGGGAAGAGAAGAGCTAGCCACTGTGTTTAATTGGTGGTTTGGTCAACGTTTCTTAAATTGTGGGTCTCAACCTCAGTTTGAATCTGGGGGTCGCAAAAAAAGTTCTGTAGTTTGACACCTAACAGCTGTTTTAGGCATTGACATGAATGAAGGCAAAACAATGAGTATATATTCTGTCACTTGAGGCTACAAAGCAAGTCATGGCATGAAAAATGTTGAAGGTGCTCTGATGTCCTGCAGTATCCAATATTCAGCCATGATTTAATTCCTTATGTTGAAACAAACAAGCACATCCATATCATTAGTATGCAAATTTGCTTTAAACTTGAATAAACAGTAAACAGAAGGTAAAAGAAAGAAAAAATGTCTTCCTTACTGCAAAGTAGCTTCGGAAAAGCTCTGCAATGCTTGTAAAAGCCACTCGGTGGTCATCGTCCTGCACGATGCAGCAACACAGCAACCGGATTCTTTTCTCCCAGACGCGAGTTGCTGTCTTCTTGACATTGTAAAAGAGTTGGTCCGACTGACTGCTCTCCAGGTTGCGGTTGGGGCAGTGAGCCACGTACAGCATCTTCTTCCCACCAAGAGGATCAAAGACAACCACAATGGCCACCACAGTGAAGACAATGATCACCCAGCTGCCAAGGAGAACAGACATCAGAGCCAGTCCAGAAGGACGTACAGGCAGTCCCTAAGTTACAAGCATCTGACTCATAGTTAAGAACAGGGGTGAGACAACAGGAAGTGAGAGAAATCTACTTCTCGGAAAGGAAATCCACTCCTGGAAGTGTTATTATCGAGGGGGAAAGGTGTCTCTACTGAAGCTTTCTCACCAGTTCTTGCTTCCAAAACATGACTTTTTTTTCAAAATCCAATTCTCAATGGGACAAAAAGTGAGGTGAAATCTTCTAAACAGGGGCACAGACAGCAAAACAAACATGGTGTGAACCCTTTCCTATGCCATCCAAAGCTTATATACATACGAGTATATATTTGGCTGGAATTACTTAAAAATGTACCTGTTCCGACTTACATACAAATTCAGCTTAAGAACAAACTTAAAGGACCTATCGTGTTCATAACTTGGGGATTGCCTATGCCAACCTTGAGCAAACTTTGGCCTTTCACATATTTTGGACTTCAAATCCCACCATTCCTAACAGCCTACCAGTTGAAGTTGAAGTCCAAAACACAGGGAGGGCCGAAGTTTGCCCATGTCTGGCCTATACCCATATTTCATTGCATATTTCATCCCATAATAGTTGCACCCCCATTTTTGGGTGCCAGGTTTTGGAACTCGTGGGATGCTTTCTATAGAACCCAAAAATCCATGTGAAAGAAGTTTCAATAAATGAACTGAAATATCCGCACACTAGAAAGACTTTTCATGGAGCATCCGATGGCCATCTACCTTCACTTGAGCTCCAAGGAGGGAGTCTCCTTACCTGGCAATGACTGTTCCAAATATAGCGCTGATCATCGTCTTTTCACAGTTTATTCTGCCATCCGATACCCAGACAGCACCCACAACAGCCCAGACAAGTTCGGGCAAAAAAAGACCGAGGCGCAGGTACAGCAATTTTGGAAGAGACTTCCTTGGCCCAGGATTGGAAATTGTTCCTGAAAACAATGGCTGAAAGCTATTGCACCAGCTGCATTAACTAATACATCTAAACAGGATTAAAACACAATATGAAAAATGTGTTGTCGAAAGCTTTCATGGCTGGAATCACTGGGTTGCTGTGAGTTTTCCAGGCTGTATGGCCATGTTCCAGAAGCATTCTCTCCTGATCAAATCAATTGGCCACCTTGATTAGCACTGAATTCAATGCTAATCAAGCTGTCAACTGCAACATTCACACTTGCAGACAAGAGTTCTTTCTTCCACCCTGGACATTCCACAGATATATAAACCTCACTTGCCTAGTTTCCAACAGACCCCACAACCTTTGAGAATGCCTGCCATAGATGTGGGCGAAACATCAGGAGAGAATGCTTCTGGAATATGGCCAGACAGTCCAGAAAATGCACAGCACCCCAGTGATTCTGGTCATGAAAGCCTTTGAAAACACATATGTTCCCTTTTTGGAACATGATCCCCACAATAAGAGATGTATTGCTACTGATATAACAATATACAAGCAAGCTGCTCATCTGTCTCCACAGATTCTGCATTCATGGACATCCCCTTCCTCCCATAAAATCCGTAAAGGAAACTTTGACATTTCCATTTCATGACATTGTTGTATATAATGAGATTGAGCATCTATTGATATTGATTATTCGTGGCTTCGGTTAATTTTCTCTCTCTATGAATCTCCAGGTCTACTAGTGTGGCTCTATGGTCAACATCCTCTGGGCATGCTGCGGGACCTTGACATTTCTATCTAGAGAGAACACATTTCTAGAAGTCTCTGGCTCTCCACTGTAATTCCATGGTTAGTTTCCAGCAAAAGTTAACTCTAGAATCATGTTGGAAGATTCAGAAATTCCTAGAAAGGGATTCTCTCAGGTAGAATAATAAAGCTTCTTTCTTCTTGTTTTTTCACTGTCCATTGTAGTTTTTTTTCCCTCTGTACAGTGAATGTGGAGAGCTGGCTGTAGTTTTACATAACCATAACATAATGTAAAATGCCTTTTACCTTGCATGCTGATGTACAAAATAGAAGATAGAGCACATATTACGGCTGCCAGGAGAAAAAGGAGGACGAGAAGGTAACTGTGCAACAGCACTCCTCCATTGCAGTTAAATTGTCCTTTGTGAATAGCATACAACACCAAAATCCCAATCCACCTGCAGGAAAGACACAGAAAAATGCACACATCACCAGCTGAAGAATGTAGTTTCACATGAGAGACAAGCTCTCTGAAGAAAGCCTGATACTCATATATAGGCCTTCCAGGATGCTGAGAACTTTATGGGAAGCCCTTCTTATAGTCCTGCCCCCCTCAAAGGCAGATCTTGGAGAAACATGAGAAAGAGCCTTCTTGGTGGCTGTTCCCATAAGGCTACAATGGCTCCCTCCTTCTTTCTTCTCTAGAGGCTGATGACGACTTTTTTATTCCTTTTTTTATCATGTCAGGAGCGACTTGAGAATTTGGGGAGTGCAGGCAGGCTTGGAAAGCACGCGCACCTGCCAGTTCCTACAGCACTGCTCTTACTACTCTAAGAGCAGAAACAGCAGGTGCCAGGTAACAAGGCACGCCGGGGAAAAGAGCCAGTGGGTGGGAAGCCCCCCCCCCCCTTAATGGTCTGATTTTCAGGCCCTGAACCAAAACAACCCTCCCAATTTCAGGAAACTTACCAAAAACAGATCAGGGCCCCCTACAAAAGCTGAGACATGAAATGGGACAAGGTTTCCCCTGAATGCACATGTCTACTATGTAAAAAAATTGAAAAAATATCTGTTCCTGGTTTGCAAGTGTTATTTCCTGTTTGATACTTGCTTTGAAAGTAGTTGCTATACTCCAGACACTTTGTTTTTGTGGATGCCATAAACTATATTGTATTGATTGAGACTCAATGAGATATTCATTGAAAAACTATAGAAAAATGTGCTGCTAGATGTTCATCCCGCGAAAACAATTTTTTTGCCCTTTAATAAACTTTTGCCATGTTTTTATGATAGACGCAATTAGGAAATGACATTTATAACCCATGAACAAAAATTGTGTTATATATTGTAATCAGATTGGCTAATTCAAGCTACTCAAGTAATTGCCCCTTGGAAAGTATCACAGAAAATACCAGCAGAGTTGCACTAAGCAATTAACATTACACAACCAATTACAGTATTTAAGGAACAGAACTCATGGAGATCGAAGACTGTCTAACAAAACACGTATTTCCACACAATAAAACCAAGCAGTCTGCAGGAAAATAGTCATTATCTTGCACCAGATTTGAATCCAGCAGCAAAGAACAATTCTGAAAAAAATACTTCCTTTTTGCATACAAAACTAACTCCTAATATCCCTAGGCCACCTTGAGTAAATAGCGAAAACAGAGTACAACTCTAATAAATATATACATAAGACAAATATTTTACTGGAGCTCCAGTTCTTTTTTCAAATTCCCGCTTTAATATCAGAGCTTTCTAATAAAGACTTTAAGCCATATTCTCTGCTTCTGCAGAAAAGAGCACTATGTAAAATTAACACAATACAGCCACCCCACTATTTGCATCATTTCTGAGGACAGTAAAAACACATGGAGGGTGGTTGTGGCTACGTAAGACTAAAGAGTAAGCAGCTTTGCTCTCAGCTTGAAGCTCTCAGTAAAAGTTGATTGTCAGCTGTGTGCCTTGCCTCAGAAGACCCATGGCTATAAGCTCAGAGGGGCCTGGATACAGGATTACCTGCGGCCTAATACTGCTCCAGTAACCTACCTTCAGCAGGGTCTGAAAGCCAAGGGGGAAAACAACACAGTAGTGAATGTCCTGTTGTATTCCCACACTGTGTGGATCCACACATCCTGATAATCCAGACGGTAGCGGTCAAAGTCTGACATGTTTGCGCCTTTGAAAAGATACCATTCCCAAAACTACCCAGTCACTGACTAAGGAATGTCAGGAATCCTGATCCAAAATATTTTTAAAAATACAATTTGAACCAATTCCACAACAAACCATAATTTATAGACAATCACCCACCACAATAACAAGGCAAGGTTTGTTGATTTATCAACTACAGCTTATTTAAATCTGCTTCGGTTTGTTTTCATATCCAAAGCCAGATCCATTGCTTGCTTTCCCAAATATCCTTCTTGGACCACAAACAGGAGAAAAAAAAACAAATTAAGCTGGGGAAAACAAACTGGTTTGTCTGGTCATTTCTTGGACAATTTACACCTAAGCAAGAAACTACTGCTAACCTGGCTTAGTACGATTTATAAACATCCCCACTTGAATTTGAAGGACAGAACAAAGTAGTGGTCAGGGTCAAAAATAAAAGAATGTGACCCAAAACACCAGTATATTTAGTTTAAACCTCTAGTCACTAGCTAATGCTTGGGAGAGGCATTTGAGCATTTAGAATGGGTAAAAAATCCCAAACAGATTTGAGAAAACACCTAAGGAAGGGACATGGTCCTCTGAGCAAACCTACATTCAGATTTCATCCCGAGATTCCTCATCCCTGAGCTAGATACAGCTTTATATATTTACTTGCCAGGATGGCTACATGGAAGCTCAAGGGTGAACGAGAATATATTATTGAGTAATAGTTGCTGAGGAACAATGCTGGGTGTGGGCGAGTTCTAACTGTCTTCACATCTCTTTTGTTTGCTTCCTTAAGGCGTGTGGTTGACCAACAAGATGTCTGATGTCCTTGGCGTCAATCACAACTACTCCCATACGGCTTCTTATCTCTAATTTGCTCTATTGCAATTAGGATAAATCCTTAAGCCAAATCAATTTTGCATTCATAAAGTTTTGGACTCTTGCCATATTAACTGCTTCCATTTCTCAAAAGGCAGGAGCTCACTAATCATTTGAGTTCAGAATCGTACCACTCCAGAGAAGGCATGTGTTTATCCAATTTTATCATCATTTTTCCCAAAGAAAATAGAGAGTTACAGATTTGCAGCAATGCCAAAAATGTGATAGGTATCATTAGCTTTTCCTCAGGACTTCAGTATACAGATCCTCCAACTGCACACACAAGTAGTTAAGAACTTAAAATGACTCACGCTGGATCAGAGCAAAGCAAGATCTGGCCTATTCATACAACAGCCAACCAATATATCCCCAGTTCATGAGCAGGACATAAACAAAACACATCTTCTTGTGCCTGTTCCCCGGCAACTGGCATCATGAGGCATATAAAGTTAAACACTGGAGGCAAAATATAAACATCATGACTAGTAACTGCTGAAAGCCTTATCCCAAATACATTAATCTAATCCTCTTTAAAGGGGTTGCTGTCTTTTCCTATAGCTTAAGGCAGCAAACTCCAAGTCAGTCCTCTGTTAGATCATGTTTGAGAGATGAGACTTTAAGCAGCCTATATTAATTTTTTTAAAGGATGCAATTAAAACAGAAAGAAAAACAACTATCAAAACAGAATTATGTTAAAAGCACACCATTCAAAATGAGGTCACTAAAAAAGAAAACATCCAATTAGTGACAAACTCAATCCTTAGCAGCTAGTCAAGTGTTAAAGGTTTGACTCTTTCTCTTTTAATGCTTTTCTCTGTCCTTTTAGCTTGCTTACAGGTATACGGGACAGTGATAGTATTAATGTTAATACTAGCCTTTGACAATACAATGTTAATACTACGTCTTCTGTCCTTTGCCCCAGCATCTGCTTTTAAACTGAATACCAAAGTTCACTATTGGTAAATATGTGGAGTTACGACAATGATTCATTTTTTTCCTGGATAGTACTCAGACCATTGTAGACAATGTAAGACAAATCTTACCAGATCATTCTGATGAAGAGCTCAAAGGCTCCTGGAAAGACAAAGTCATCACTGCCGATGGCCCAGCGCCTCCCAAACATGACCATCCCAGGCATCGTGGGCCCTTCTAGATACTCTTCCTTAACCCCTGCAGAAGAATTACATGAAAGCATGAAAGAATTACCAGCCTTTTATGCCAATCTAATTTAAACTTTATAAGGTTCAAAGCATTGCTCCACTCCCCCCCCCCCCCCCCCCCCCCATCAACGAGGCAGACCTCAAACGACGCTTGACAACCTGACTCATCTCTTTCTGCTCCTATTAAAACTGGTTTTGTGAATCTTGTAAATCCACATGTTCAAAGCATCAAATAGATTTTACAGGTCTAATATGTCCTTCCTGCCTCCCTAAACCTTCCATATATTTCTTCCACAATTGCCATCAAACTAAAAGTCTTAGTTTTACTACCACTTTGTTCTTGCTGATTTAAGGAGCAAGTGTACATACAACTTGTAATTCTCAAATAGAGAATGACATTTTATTGTTCTGTTTGTATTACTCCTCTTGCTCCTGGCAAGAACATAGGCGTTGGGGTGGCACTTGATGAATCTAAATTAATAATCCAGTTCAGTATTTGTCTTTGAAAACACCTTTGCCCACAGAAGAACCTTTGCTTTTGAAAACAAAAGTCATGATGATTGCGCCCTTTTGCCTAATAAAGATAATACTACAATATGGACTTTGAACCCAATCTACATACACAATAAAGTGAATGTTGAAGTCACTTAGAAAACCAAGGATTTGTTGTGATTCCTTTAAAAAAAGAAATAGGTCCTGTCTACATTGCCATATAATTCCATTTCTGAATCCAGATTATCTGCATTGAACTGGATTATATGGCAGCGCAGACTGATATAACCCAGTACAAAGCAGATAATCTCTTAGATGTGACCACAATAGTGTACAGTATGATCCCTGTATCCCAGACATGAGCAAACTCGGGCCCTCAAGGTGTTTTGCACATCAACTCCCACAATTCCTAACAGCCTGTTAGAAATTGTGGGAGTTGAAATCCAAAACACCTGGAAGGACAAAGTTTGCCCATGCCTGCTGTATCCACAAAAGATATGTCCCCAGGTTTTACATGGAAACACATAGATTCATATAATCCACTGGTCCTGTGGATAAAATACTGAAACGTTGACAAAATCCACTACAATATTTTAAAAAGCAGCAAATTAAAAAATACCCAATAAAACAAATCCACTGGATTTGAAGCACATTGTGTTAAGGAGCATCTACACCAGGGGTCCTCAAACTAAGGCCCAGGGGCCGGATACGGTCCTTCAAGGTCATTTACCCGGCCCTCGCTCAGGGTCAACCTAAATCTGAAATGACTTGAAAGCACACAACAACAACAACAACAACAATCCTATCTCATCAGCCAAAAGCAGGTCCACACTTCTCATTGAAATACTAATCGCAGACCAGGACCAAATTTACTAGACAGACGACCCATGACCCACTTTATGTCCTGGTGCGCTTTGGGGAAGGATGGACAATGAATGATGGGAGATGCAGTACCTCCACTGACTTCCAGAGACCACTGCAACCCACTATAATGACAGATCAGGAAAAACTTGGCACACAAAGCCCCCATGACCCACTCTACATCCTGGTGTGATTTGGGGGAGGATGCACCATGGACGATGGGACTTCCAGTACCTTCACTCACTTCATGAGTCCATAGCAACCCATACCAATGACTGATCAAAAGCAAACTTGATACACAGAACCTCCTTGACCTACTCTACATTCTGGTGACAGGACTTGCATACGGGAATTGTAGTTCACCTACACCCACTGAACCCAGCCAACATTGGTTCTAGATGAAACTTGGAGCACAGACAAACAATGCCTTTCTCAAATAACCCGGGCACTACAGGGTGCCCAAGCTAGTAAGTTTATATTTGTTAAAACTGTTCTTCATTTTAATTATTGTATTGTTTTATAGTGTTTTTTGCATTACAAATAAGATATGTGCAGGGCGCATAGGAATTCATTCATGTTTTTTTTTTCAAATTATAATCCGGCCCTCCAACAGTTTGAGGAACTGTGACCTGGCCCTCTGTTTAAAAAATTTGAGGACCCCTGATCTACACTATCAACTTAATGCAGTTTGATGCCACTTTAACTTCCAAGGTTCGCTCCCTGCTCTGGAATAATAGAATCATAGATCTGGAAGAGACCTTGTGGACCATCCAGTCCAACCCCATTCTGCCAACAAGGGACTCGGTGCGGCTAACATAGAATTCATAGATTCATAGAATTCATAGAATCAAAGAGTTGGAAGAGACCTCATGGGCCATCCAGTCCAACCCCCTGCCAAGTAGCAGGAATATTGCATTCAAATCACCCCTGACAGATGGCCATCCAGCCTCTGTTTAAAAGCAGAGAGTTCCACTGCTGAACGGCTCTCACAGTCAGGAAGTTCTTCCTCATGTTCAGATGGAATCTCCTCTCTTGTAGTTTGAAGCCATTGTTCCGCGTCCTAGTCTCCAGGGAAGAAGAAAACAAGCTTGCTCCCTCCTCCCTGTGGCTTCCTCTCACATATTTATACATGGCTATCATGTCTCCTCTCAGCCTTCTCTTCTTCAGGCTAAACATGCCCAGCTCTTAAGCCGCTCCTCATAGGGCTTGTTCTCCAGACCTTTGATCATTTTAGTCACCCTCCTCTGGACACATTCCAGCTTGTCAATATCCTGTTAGATGGCCATCCAGCCTCTGTTTAAAAGCCTCCAAAGGAGGAGCCTCCACCACACTCCAGGGCAGAGAGTTCCACTGCTGAACAGCTCTCACAGTTAGGAAGTTCTTCCAAATGTTTAGGTGGAATCTCCTTTCCTGTAGTTTGAAGCCATTGTTCCATGTCCTAATGAAGGGGACAGTGGAAAACAATTTGGTTTGATTGATGGGTGGCAGTGGTGGGCCTCTTCACTAGTCTCCAGGGCAGCAGAAAACAAGCCTGCTCCCTCCTTCCTGATATATTTATCCTTGTTCCTCATCATGTCTCCTCTCAGCCTTCTCTTCTGCAGGATAAACATGCCCAGCTCTTTAAGCCGCTCCTCATAGGGTTTGTTCTCCAGTCCCTTGATCTTTTGAGCCGCCCTCCTCTGGAGATATTCCAGTTTAGAGTCAACAGTGTCCAGAATAGGATACAGTATTCTAAAATATATAGGCCGTCTTGTTGTTGTCAGCCCCTGTCGCAGTGACGTCATTAGGGGGCGCGGGGGATGCGGAACGCATCCCCCCGCGCCCCCTAATGACGTCACTGCGGCAAAAGCCCCCTCCTCACCTCAGAGCGCCCCCTGTTGGGCTTCCGAAATGCCGCCCGCTTCACCTGCCGCCGCGCGCCACCTGCCCCTCGCAGAAGCAAGTCACCTCCTCCTGGCCACATGACGTCACGACGTACGGCCCCGCCCCCTTGCACCGCCTTCCTCTAACGCGCATGCGCACTACCAATCCTTGCGTCCCTCTCTCCGCCGGCTTCGAGCGCAAACAGAATGAAAAGCCGGCGCATGCGCAGATCAGGAACCGGGTCCAAAGGTGTCATAGAGGTATAGCACTACAGGGCAGGGTTTAAAGACATTACACTTCCGGTTCTGGTTTAGACTCGTTCGAACCCTGAGTATGTCAAACAATGAGTCTCCTTTCTCCCCGCAATGGAGGAGGTAGGCGCCTGCTGCTTTCGAACTGAAACCGGACGTGTTTGTTGGAACTATTAAACCACAACTCTTTGCCTTTCTGAGTGGCTTTCTCCAGGCGCACGCGCAGTGGCAAATCTGTATGTGTTTCTGAGACTCTTACCTGATGAAGCAGCCAAGGGAGCTTCCAAAGCTTGCATATGGTCTGCTCTGCTTTGGAGCTGGCCCAGTACAGTTATATATTATATATACAACTTTACTGAGATCCTTCTTTGGAGGCTTTTAAGCAGAGGCTGGATGGCCATCTGTCGGGGGTGCTTTGAATGTGATTTTCCTGCTTCTTGGTAGAATGGGGCTGGACTGGATGGTCCACGAGGTCTCTTCCAACTCTATGATTCTATAATTCTATATAATATGAATAATGTTGTAATATATTATATATTCAACTTATGATATAGTACAATATATTATATACTAATAGTATAATATACTGGTAGCGTATTATATATTATACTATATTATTATAATATATATTATTATATATATATTATAATAATATAGTAATGTAGTATTGTTGTTCATTCGTTCAGTTCCGACTCTTCGTGACCTCATGGACCAGCCCACGCCAGAGATCCCTGTGCCATCACCACCCCCAGCTCCTTCAAGGTCAAGCCAGTCACTTCAAGGATACCATCCATCCATCTTGCCCTTGGCCGGCCCCTCTTCCTTTTCCCTTCCATTTTCCCCAGTATCATTGTCTTCTCTAAGCTTTACTGTCTTCTCATGATGTGGCCAAAGTACTTCATCTTTGTCTCTTAGTATCCTTCCCTCCAATGAGCAGTCGGGCTTTATTTCCTGGAGGATGGACTGGCTGGATCTTCTCGCAGTCCAAGGCACTCTCAGAACTTTCCTCCAACACCACAGCTCAAAAGCATCTCTCTTCCTTCGCTCAGTATATTATGTAATAATGTAATATATATACAACTTATGATATATAATATATTATATACTGATAGTATAATATACTGGTAGCGTATTATATATTGTACTATATTATAATATATTATAATAATATAGTAATGTAATATATTATGAAATAATGTAATATATATACAACTTATGATATAATACAATATATTATATACTAATAGTATAATATACTGGTAGTGTAGTATATATTGTACTATATTATTATAATATATATTATTTTATATATAATAATATAGTAATGTAGTATATTATGTAATAATGTTGTAACATATTATATATACAATTTATGGTATATTACAATATATTATATACTAATAGTACAAGATAATTATATATAAGAATATAATTGTATATTATATATTACATGTAATATCAATAATATTGCAGTATAGCGGTCTAGTGCAATAATATATACTAATATTGTGCTCTGCTAATAGTATATTAGATATAGGTAAAGGTAGTCCCCTGACATTTAAGTCGAGTCATGTCTGACTCTGGAGTGTGGTGCTCATCTCCATTTCTAAGCCGAAGAGCCAGCGTTGTCCGTAGAGACCTCCAGGGTCATGTGGCCGGCATGACTGCATGGAGCGCTGTTACCTTCCCGCCGGAGCGGTACCTATTGATCTACTCACATTTGCATGTTTTCGAACTGCTAGGTTGGCAGAAGCTAGGGCTGACAGCGGAAGCTCACGCCGCTCCCCGGAATTGAACCTGTGACCTTTCGATCAACAAGCTCAGCAGCTCAGTGCTTTAACCTATTGCGCCATATTAATATGTGATACAATATTTTGTTGTTGTTCATTCGTTCAGTCACTTCCGACTCTTCATGACCTCATGGACCAGCCCATGCAAGAGCTACCTGTTGGTTGTCACCATCCCCAGCTCCTTGAGAGCAAAACAGTAACATATTTATTGTCTTTGGGAATTCTTTGGTGTGCTCCATTATCCAGTGACGTGTTTGCAATGTGAATCCTAAAGCCTCTTCTTTTCCTTGACCCAGCTGCATGTCCACCTAATATTTCTCACTCCACATATAGTAAAATAATAATAAAATAAACCTTAAATAATATATAAATGTAATAAATGCATATGAAATAGTAATATATTAATATATATATATAATATTAAATAGTAATGTATTAAAGAAAAAAATATCCTATAAATACATATTTAATAATAATATCCTACTCTCTCTTAAAAGCAGGATGTAAATACATTTAATAAGTAATTTCCAAGGCAGAATGCTGTGTTCCTTCAAAATGTTGTTTACCGTGTTTTGACCTTTCATAATTTTGGAAAAGAATTTTTCTACCAAGCCTTTCTTTTGCCATTTCCTCCTACTGCCACTGCTGTTTTGAAATTTAGCAAAAACACCTTATTCATCCCTCTCTGTAAATGAATAAGAAATATGGTTTGTTTAGGTAACCATTAATCAGGCACCTCACACACTGAGGGGTTTTGTACTTGAATACAAGCAAACGCTTACTTGTGAGGCAGACTGCCATGGGCCAAATGAACCTAAAAGGACACAAATTCAATTAGCTTGTCAATTATTTCAGACTTTTGTCCAAACCTTCCAGCTGCCAAGGATATATGCTCGTTTAAACCTTATAGACTAATTTTGCTCTTGCAGCTGTTGGTGCAGTGGGTTAAACCCTTATGCCAGCAGGACTGCTGACCGATTGGTTAGCAGTTCGAATCCTGTGAGAGCGGGTTGAGCTCCCTCTGTCAGTTCCAGGCAACCATGTGGGGACAGGAGAGAAGCCTCCCACAAGGATGGTAAAACATCAAACATCTGGGTGTCCCCTGAGCAATGCCTTGCAGACAGCCAATTCTCTCACACTTCACTTGCAGTTTCCCAAGTCAATCCTGACATGAAAAAAAGCTGTTTCTATTACCATGAAATAACTCAAGACTTTAAAGCACAAGTGTTTTGAAGACTGTCTTTTTGGCAGATAAAGATTTCTGGCTTTTCTAGATATGATCAAATTTATTTTGAACGACGACACGTTTGAATGTGTCTTCTTCACAGGCTGCCACTAAGGGATAGTTCCACAACATCATCACAATGTATACCACTTCATAAAATGTTTATTTATTAAGGATGGTAACACAGTATAGGTCATGCAACAGCTCAGTAAAAAAAGAGAATCATGGAAAAAATGATAAGAATAGGACTTGGTGCTGGAGATTGAAGAATAGGTTTATAAAAACGATACTAGTGTTCAAAACTGGCACATCTAAAACTGGCTGAAAGCTGAACACGGACAGTAATTACTTGTAAAAGTGTTTGTATTTTTAAAAAAAGGGTAAAAATTGCCACCAACCGATTACTTCAATTGGACGACGATCACAGGTTTATCCCGACAGTTGCAACACAAAGATTGTTATTTGGGCTTGACACAGCCCTAAAAATGTGGAGCAATTTTGTTGTGAATAATAATAATAAAAAACACTGTCTGACACCGAGTCACAAAAGCAAGAAACTCTATAGTCAGAAAAACTTGCATTGGCACCAAATACTTTCAGACAAATGTTTTCGGGAGATAAAGAGAGGACAATATGCATTAGCAGACACTACAAGAGAATCGCTATTTTCAACGGGAGACTAAAGTCATATATGGAAACTTTCTGTTATATCTAGTCTGAGTTCAGTTGATACACATTGTTCAGCCTCTGGGGGTGCGAGGGGGGGAAATAAATACAGTGGAATGAAATTTGAAATCAAAAGAATGGTTACCATCCATCAGTCAGCACACCGTTGCGTGCACCAAAATAAAGTTGGAATTTAAAAAGAACCCTTTGAAAATAAGGAAGTGTTTGCACTTATTCCTGGTCATAAACAACCCCACAAAACTTCACTTTTTTTTTGGAGCTATTCCAATTGAAACTACACACTGAATTAAATTCACACAGTATTAAGTTTCTTTATGTAAAAAATCTTTATACATAGTAATAAAAAAAGATGAAGGCAAGATGCATCAAACAGAAGTCCGCTGGTTCTTCGTCGGTCCTTCAGAGCCGTGGCTGCTCTTGGCAGGAGAAGGAAGGAGACTCTCTGTCTCAAGCATCTTCACCTTCCGCTTGTGGTAAGGATTGTTCTGTCTAAGCACCCAGGACGAGGGGTGCCATGGTGGGCTTTGGCACTTATGCTGGCAAACTGAGCTTCTTTCCTTTGAGTACTAAGAGAGAGAATGGGAAAGGCCGTATTAAATCAGCAGAATCAGTCCATCTTATCATTATGATATAAACAGTGCTGGGTTTTCAGAGTATCAAGAAAAGAAAGGTCCTTGAGCTCCACTAACAAAAGTCAAAGTATGTTTTGCATCAAAGTTATATTTGTTTGAACCAAAAAGGCCATGGATTGATAGGTCTTTACCAAACATGGCACATATACCCTTCATTGTCCCACTTTAAAAAGATTCAATTACAAAACAAACAAACAAAAAACCCCACTTATTTCAGGGCCAGGGGCTTTTGAAATTAACAAAAGGGATGTCTGTATGCAGTGCTCACATCCAACCACAAGAGAGCAGAATATAGAAAGGATTAGCTACTGGCCTCTAAATATGTTTGTATGCCAATAACCACTTTGAGCAGCTCTTGTAATTGTAGAAGTCAAACATGACTTGTATTAATGTATTGTTAAAAGCTTTAATGGCCAGAATCACTGGGTTGTTGCAGGTTTTTCGGGCTATATGGCCATGTTCGAGAAGCATTCCCTCCTGAAGTTTCACCTGCATCTATGGCAGGCATCCTCAGAGCTTGTGACCTCATAGATGCAGGCGAAATGCCAGGAGAAAATGCTTCTAGAATATGGCCATAAAGCCTGAAAAACCTACAACCTAATTACTTGTTTTAATCTCTTGTTATCAGTATATATTAAATATTACAATTTCAAAATATTTTCCCCCTTTCTTAAAATGCATACATCTTGTTTTGGCGCCCTCTATATTTCTCTACTGTTAAAATGGTGGAAAGGTAAAGGTTTTCCCCTGACATTAAGTCCAGTTGTGTCCAACTTTGGGGACTGGTGCTCATCTCCATTTCTAAGCCAAAGAGCCGGTGTTGTCCATAGACACCTATAAGGTCATGTGGCCAGCATGACTGCATAGAGTCCGTTACCTTCCCACCTGAATGGTACCTATTGATCTACTTGCATTTGCATGTTTTCAAACTGCTAGGTTGGCAGAAGCTGGGTCTAACACCAGGAGCTCACCCCATTCCTCAGATTCAAACCACCGGCCTTTCAGTCAGCAAGATCAGCAGTTCAGCAATTTAACCCACTGCACCACCGGGGACTCAAAAAATGGTATAACTGAGATGCAAAACGTTATGATTGGTAAATCCACACTCTGTGTAACCAGGAAGTGTACACAAGAATTGCATGCTAGTGAAACCACTTAACAGAGATGACTCATTTCACCTCTCCATTCAAAATATATTCATCACTTGTTATAGTGAGCAATTCGTGCTTATGTTTTCCACAAAATCAGTGCACCCATACAGTTCCTTCTTTCAGGTGAGAAAATTATAGGCAACAGACAGCATACTAGCCCATCCCACTGTGCTCCTTTCAGATACCATTTCTGATATTGGATTTTAACTCTGCCCATCAGTACAAATGTCAAAAGACTCAAAATCCTAAGTGAAGAAACCAAGCATCAAAGGCTACCAAAGATGTTGATGTGTTACTAGACATTTTGCAACAATGATGTTTTGTCCTGGATGCTCCTTTTATATACAGTATGGACTGCTCTTATAAATAATCCAATGTTGACTATTTCATGACCTTCATACCATATGAAGGGGAGCAGGGAGCATCTTCAGTACTGACTGAAATGAAGGCATAAAAGAAAAAGTAACACAATATATGGGGAAAACATAAGGAGGTTCACATACTGATAAATAAATGTAAGAATTGCTAAAAACAACAAGAGGCAGCCTGTTAGTAAGATACATCACTTTGTCCTAGGATATTAGCATGTACAAGGAAGCTGCATGCATGTAGAATGAGGACATTAGCATCTGATGTATTTCATCTCCCACATTAAGAAAAACCAGAACAAACTGGAAGGAAAGTAGGAAGTCTCTACACTCACTCTCATTTTGAGGGTGATACTTTATGGTAAATTACAACTGTGAACTTGCGTATTTAAATAGTCTGGCAACCTATGAATTTCATAGTGTTTTCATAGACAAGAAACACATGAAAGTTGTTTGCCATATCCTTCCTCCAAAATATAGCTGCCTCTGAAATATATCCTGCTATTTATTGGTGGTTTCCCATCCAAGTACCAACCAGGCCTCACTCTCTTGAGATTCCATAAAACCTGGTGGCTTCAGGGTATTTATGCTTGATGGTAATTTGCATAGAAATACATTTTAATATATGTATTTTACATAATGTTTTATGATGATGTGTTTTAACTATGCTGTGCCCTGCCTTGAGGGGAAGCAGGTAAGAAATTTATTATTATTATTATTAACACAAAAAGATGAGTCCACAGCAGACACTCTGCTGGCTGTTATATTGGATCACACGTCGGACACTTCCCAAGTGTCTAGGACTGTGTGATGTATCGGCGAATAAAGTGTGCAGATCCCAGTAAGGTTGCCTTTTACCGCTGGCAGATGGTAATTTTGTCAGCGCCGATTGTGTTTAAGTGCAGGCCAAGGGCTTTAGGCACTGAACTCAGTGTGCCGATCACCACTGGGACCGCCTTTGCTGGTTTGTGCCAGAGTCTTTGCACTTCAATTTTTAAATCCTCATATCATGTCAGCTTTTCCAGTTGTTTCTCTGCAATCCTGCTGTCGCCTGGGATTGTGACATTGACGATCCATACTTTGTTTTTTAACACGATTGTGAGGTCAGGAGTATTATGCTCCAAAACTCTGTGTGAATCCAGAAGTCCCAGAGGAGTTTGGCTTATTATTATTATTATTATTATTATTATTATTATTATTATTATTACTACTACTACTACTACTACTACTACTACTACATACACTGTTAATTCTACTATTTAGCTCTACCTAAGACATCCAGAACTACATAACAGGAAGACTATACATCATGGCTTACCTTTTGTAACATACAAATAGAAGAAGTCACAGTACAGGATAGTCTGGACAACACCAGCCACAACTGCTATGAGATCAAAGAATCCCTCAAAGTAGTAGCGCCAGATCCAATTGATAAGGTACAAGGCACGGTACAGGCCCAAAAAGAAAAGGTAGTGAGTAGTGATGGTTTCTGCTTCCCCAGTTTTACTGATCATAAAAAGTTGGGGAAGAATAGCAACAGACTCCAAATAGATGGAGAAGGTCCACAAGATCTGGAAGTACAAAAGAATCATGTTCACGTGATACTACCATTCATATATTTTATGCAAACATGCACATTCATTTACTTTGCTCTATAAACAACACACTGCCATATTGAAATTCCCAACTGCTATGTGAAATCCCACATAAACCAGGAGGACAGAAAGACTTTTGTCTAATGTTGCAAAATGGAAAAAATCCAGCAGTTGCACATCAGTAGTACTATATGCCATGCTAAATACAAAAGATGGACTTACTCTACCACACAATACCAATTATCCACTTTGACAGCGCTGTAAACTAGTTCACAGTCTTAAGCAAAAGTGTTGGAACTAAGCTGAGCAGTGAAATAGCAGTGAACCCTACTTTGCCAATACTCCACAGTGATCATCCTCAACTTTGAGATAGTAAAAAAGGGAGAAATCTCTTAGTGAGAGGACTCATATTTAATAATCACAGCTGGGAAAATCCAAAGCTACCATTAATTAACGACAGAAGTAAGTGTGTTAAGACTATCAGAAAGTTTTGAAATTTCATGATAACTTTAAATCAGGATAGATTTTTTGTTGTAAAAAGTTAAATTCTCCAGAGGACATGTCTCTGTGGAAATGCTGTCTGTTCTGGCAAGTATGAGATAGTTTGTAAGTGGTTTATTTGTTGTGTGCCTTTAAATCATTTCTGAATGTTGATGCCTCGAAGGCAATCTTATTACATGATTCTCTTGAAGAGATTTGTTCAGGAGGGGGTTACTTTTGCCTTCATCTGAGGCTGAGAGAGAGTGATATGTCCAAGGTCACCCAAACTGGTTTCTATGGCTGAGCAGGGATTCAAACCCTGTTCTGCAGAATCATAACCCAATGATCAAATATCTGCACTGTATTTTATCCCACTTATCAATGAAAACAATTGTTCAAAATGCTTAAGACATGAGGCTTTTATACAGCATTTTTTATTTGATGATGTTTGGCCTTTTTACTCAACAGTGTGTAAGTATTTCCTTTCATTTGCATATAATTAAACCCATTTGGATAACAACATATATCCATTTACATATATGTAAATATGCTTGCTATGTGGCAGTATCATCTCTGTTTGCGAAGATCTAATGTAGTTCTATAACTGGTTTTTATTTACTTATTACAAAGTCAATCAATAGCTAGTCAAACAGTAACAATTCTCCCTGTCCCTTTGGTGTCGTTATGTATTCTGATCTTGTGGAAGAGAAGGCTAACAGGTATCATCATTGTCTAAGAAAGAAATAATAAATACTGCAGTATGGACTCATACACAGATCAGCTAAAACAAGAGATGTTATTGCCTGTATTTTCCACTCCAACTTTAAAAAGAAATACAAATTAATGAAGGACCTGAAGTTCCTCTTACATTCTCTAGATGGCACCAAACACTGTGCAAGATCATTTTCTCACTATTTCAAACAAACTCTGAAGCATGAAACTGAAATCCTAGGTCTTTTTGTCTAATTAAACATAAGATTACACTGTAATTCCATTAGTAATAACTGCACTTATGTTTTTGTATGGAATCTCTAGGTGCAAGTCAACCACTATAGAAATTGAAGAAATTGGAAGACCATGAAATACCTAGAAAGAATAGGTCCTCCAGTGCAGAAGTTAATCACAATTATTTTGATTTTTAATTAATATTTCTATGTTTTCTAAAGCTTTGTAGCACATATTGTTTTAACTATTTTGGTTTACCTTATATTGTAAGTCATTTTGGTTCCCACAGTGGATGAGAAGTGGGATATAAACAAACGAATTAATGAATGAACAAAGGTAAAGGAAGGAAGCCTTAACCCAGTGTTTCTCAACCTCGGGGTGGGGACCCCTGTGGGGGTCACGAGGGGGTGTCAGAGGGGTCGCCAAAAACCATCAGAAAACATAGTATTTTCTGTTGGTCATGGGGTTCTGTGTGGGAATTTTGTTCCAATTCTATGATTGGTGGGGTTCAGAATGCTATTTCTTTGTGGGTGAACTATAAATCCCAACAACTACAACTCCCAAATGTCAAGGTCTATTTTCCCCAAACTCCATCAGTGCTCACATTTGAGCACATTGAGTATTTGTGCCTAGTTTGGTCCAGATCCACCATTGTTTGAGTCCACAGTGTTCTCTGGGTGTAGGTGAACTACAACTCCAAAAACTCAAGGTCAATGTCCACCAGACCCTCCCAGTATTTTCTCTTGGTCATGGGAATTCTGTGTGCCAAGTTTGATTCTATCATTGGTGGAGTTCAGAAGACTCTTTGATTTTAGGTGAATTATACATCCCAGAACTCCAACATTCCCAAATGACAAAATAAATCACCCCCAACCCCACCAGTATTCAAATTTGGGCATATCGGGTATTTGGGATTTGAAAAAAAATCCTGCATATCAGATATTTACATGATTCATAATAGTAGCAAAATTACATTTATGAAGTAGCAATAAAAATAATGTTATGGTTGGGGGTCACCACGACATGAGGAACTGTACTATGGGGTCGCAGCATTAGGAAGGTTGAGAAACACTGCTAACCTTTTAACTCTGTATCAGTGAGTGATTAGAAGAGGGCAGAATTCTCTGCAAAGTACAGTTACCCTAGTTTTCTTTGTATCATTTCAGAACCGAACGCTTCATGTAAAAACACTAACCTCTAGAGGAGAGAAGTCATGATTGACGAGAAAAGACAGGCCGCCAACGGGAACAACAAGAAACTCAATTCTGAATGTATCGTGGTTTCCATCATAAGTAGCCTTGAATTTCATGTAGATCAGGTAGACTGTGGCATACGAGCAAGCAATGTAGATTAGCTGAAAAGAAGACGCAGTGGAGTTATCAAGCTTTTAATCTCTGCTTCCACCCCAAAACAGCATTTTATACATACAATACAGAACAAAAGGGATCTTTGTGGATTGTTCGAGTAACTTGTTCCATGCTCTGTCCCATTTGCTTGGTTCCATTCACCAGCATGTAGCACTGGCTACAACTGAATGTACAAATTTATTATCCATTTTCTTCTTATGATTGGCTATTTCATATTATATGGAAAAAGGTGACCTTCTCTTTCCATACCAACCCACTGATAAATTTTGGCTTTTTCAGATGTTTGAAAAAAGGCTAAGAACAAAGGTCTGGAGACCATGAATCCCTCTGAGGAGTGGTTTAAAGAGCTGGGTCTGTTTAGCCTCAGAAGAGAAGGCTGAGAGAAGGGGACACGAGAGCCATGTATAAATATTTGAAAGCATGTCAGAGGGAAGAGGCAGCATGCTCGTTTTCTGCGGCCAAGGAGACGATGGATTCAAATGACAGGAAATGAAATTCCAGATGAACATTAGGAAGAACCTCCTGACCATAAGAAGAGCTGTTCAGCAGTGGAACTTTCTGCCTCTGAATCCGGTGGAGGCTTTCTTCTTTGGCGGCTTTCAAACAGAGGCTGAATGGCCATCTGTCAGGGGTGCTTTGACTGTGCCTTTCCTGCATGGCAAGGGGTTGAACTCGATGGCCCATGTGGTATCTTCCAACTATATGATTCCATGATCACACTTCAAATGTTATAGTTTGAAAAAAAAAAACTCACAAAATTCAGACACTAATGAGCAAAGGAAGAGAACGTCCAGAGACTAAGACTGTAAATGAAAAGTCAGCTAGAGGTAAAAACCACTTAAAAACACTACATTTGATGGCACAGGAAGACTCATTCATTCTGGACATGTTGGTTACCATTTGCAGTTTATATATTAACTTAAATACTTAAAACAATCCCCTGCTTCCTGAAGGACCAGGGTACTTCCAATCAAGTGTGATTTTAATCAATCACATACTGTGGCTTGATAATGAACTAGAACACTCTGAAGTTTTCAAACCATATCATATAGCATCACTATCTCTACAGCTATTGTTATTAGCAAGCGTAAAATGTTTAAGCCATAGTACATTTATTCTTAGAAACCGTAGAGCACATGCACAGGCCTATAATCTAATACAAAAAATAGAAGAGATGGGGATGGTAGAACGGCAATGGTAGTTAATAAATTCTCTGGAGGGACAATGCCCATGATTAGAGAGTAATATTGTACTAGCTGTTCCAACTGCTGCTTTTTGGAGCCAGAATGAAGAATGTCAACCTTCCTGGAGGATTGCTTTCTTGTAAAATCAGGGCCAGGTTGCACTAGATGTTTTAATCTTTAAGATCCCTTCAACTTGAAAGCTGTTCCTGGTTCTTCCTTGTGACAGGCACAAAGTGTATTTGGGCCACAACCTAAATTATCATCATAATGCTGCTTTAGTATCTTGGAAAAGTATTTCAGAGGTAGTGAGCTGCCACATATCTTCCACATCACTTAATAATACTGATACTTTAAAAAGAAGAGATCCATTTGTTATTTTTGGATCTTCTGCAAACTTTGAAATGGAGGTTACCTTGAGGAAATTGGGTTTCATTACACTCAAGACAAAAAAAAAATACTGCAAACAGATTTAATTAAAAAAAGAATGAGTGACTTGCTCAAAGTCACAGAAATGGTAAGAGCTGAAATCCAGGTCAATGTCAAAAGGAAGCAAGATCCTGCTAGACCACACTTCCTGTAATCTCTCACTCCTGATCATGCTGTCTGGGCAGATGGGAGTTTTAGGCTTACATCTACATACTCCCCACCCGACCCAGCCCATTAAGCCACAGTAGATGCAGGCCAATATATGCATTTCTCAAGATTATCACCTGCAAATAACACTTATGGGTTTACTAAGCCCAAAGTAAGATCAGCATAAATTAGCATTGTTTCAGTAGTACTGAAGCAGGCACTCATATAGAGAAAGCAGCCATCAGATTAACAATAATGATACCAGAGAAAATAACTGAGAGCAATAGGATGACTACCAGACCAGTATCCATGGATGTCAAGATCCATTCTATACAATGGTGTAGTAAAATGGCTTTCTTTATATAAAATTATGAAATCAGGAGCTGCTTTTTTTGGATTCTGAGGAGGGGGTACAATATTTTCAAGCTACAGATGATTGAATCTGTGGGACTGGATTTTCATCATCAAGAGCAAGGATGAAGGAAGGGGGGAAAGGCATCAACAAGTTTGGCTCAATTGTTTTGCTTTTTGCAAAAACAAGGGGAAACGGATTCGATGTGTTTAATCTTGGGAAAAAAGATCTCAAAACTGTCTAATACCTGGGGAAACTGACTGTTCCTAAATCAAGGTTAGACAGAACCCAGGCTCACGGGATTCTGTTTTTATTAAACTAAAACCCTGTGGTCAATCAACTGGAGGCAAATGAAAAACAATAGCTCAGGCTGGCAAACCTACGCAAAATGGGTGCCTCTGAGCAAAGGCTTGGCCCAGGAATTTGTGATCTGTACCAGAACAGTCCTTTCATACCTCATCACCATGGGGTTACAAAACTCTGAATAAGGTGTCTTTCAGTCTTTCATTCTTCTTATTTAATGTACTATGACCACTGGGTGTAGCCAATTAGACAGAGAACTTTAACTGTTACAAAATAAATGGACTAACAAACACTGATAAGCACATTTTGTCAGAGGCAAACAGACAGTTTGACTCAAGCTTCTCAGTACTTTTCAAAGCATCTGTATTTATCATGATTTGGAATGTGTTATGCCTCCATCTGTACAGTTTTATAACCTCAGCAGCATAAAGCCGCACAAAGTTTGACTGGGCTTGATGGGGTTTTAAAAGCATTTTTAAAGCATTTTCTCTCACCAAAATAATTTACAGACTACTCTCCACTTCCACTTTACTCAACCCACAAAGCACTAGGTAATAAGCTTCACTGAATTAGAGATGTCCAGTTGTAGGTCTCAAGTTGTTTCTAGACTGCAACTCACAACAATCCATCACCACGTGTTAGGCTAACTAGGAAGGCTGAGAACTGCAGTTCAAGACTGCATGGCAAGCCACAACTGCACAAAATATTTTAACAAGAAGAGTACGGAATACTACAACTAGCCCTAAAATTAGTATAGAAGACCAAACACCATTAGGCCAATAATGTCGAGCCTCTCATGAGACTGATTTTTCCACATGTTATGGTAAAACTCAAATTAATTAAATAAGGGACATATACATGGGGGACGGGGGGGGGGACGGGACAAAATGGGCTTGGCAGAAAGGATCGTCTTCTTTATTTTGCTGTGAAAGAAAGCTTGAGAGCAGAGCTTTCAGAAGGTGCGAGTTGCCCTACTGTTGCTATAACCTTGGCATCACTTTGTCTCTAAAATCTTTCACAGCTTGAATTTAAAAATGATAGAAAGTTGACAAACATAAAGTCTGGAAATTTTTACAAAGCAGACAGATGTCAAAAAACAAGAAATTAAGTGCAGAATATGGAATTTTATTAGCAGCACCAGATGAAAATGGCATGCATATCTAAGAATGGCTCAATGTAGGTAAAGAACCACAGAAACAGTATACCACAATAAAACCCAATGAGTATACCACAATAAAACCCAATGACCAACTTGTATGAACAGCACAAGGATGGGCAGCTGTGACCTTTCAAACTGGTCAATTACTCCCATTAGCCTAGACAGCATAAGCAATGGTGAAAGATTATATTAAGATGCAGCTCAAACATATATGGGGCTTATGCCAACAACAAAACTACTAAAAGGTACCCCATGGTAATCATTTGGCCCTCCAAATGTTTTTGGACTACCAATCACAGCAGCCCTAGTCATCACTGGCAGCAGTGAGGAATTCTGGGAGCTGTATCCCAGCAACACTTGAAGGACATTGAGATTTCCCCCCTAGTATTGGTGGGGGAGAGGAGAGAAATTAAAGGAGGAATTTAATTTCACTCACCAAGGCAATATAACAAAGCATCTTAAAAACCTTTTCCAAAAGATTCCAACCCTCTGCCAAGGGGGTGTTATGTGCCTTCAAGTCATTTGCAATTTATCGTAACCATATTATAGGTTTTTTTTTTTACAACATTTGTTCAGAGGGGGTTTGTCCTTGCATTTCTCTGAGGATGAGAGAGTGTGACTTACCCAAAGTTCCATGAAGATGACCATGCATCAGAAATTACTTAAAGGCATTTAACAACACAAACCAAGCAGATTATCCAGGTGTAAAATGGAGGAATTTTCTAGCAGGAAATCACATATGGTTCAGTATGAACACAGATAAGAAGACGTGGAAGCATTTGTAGCATTTGTAATATCATTCCTGTTGCCGATTCTCATTCCATTTATTAACATGAATTTTAAAAGAAACATGGCATGGCTTATTGTATACATACTTTTTCTCAGGAATGAAAGCCCTCATTTTAGTTGCCATTAATTAAATACATATTGGGGGGGGGGATTGCCCCACCCTTCACTTATTCAATGAACCATACCTTCATAGAAGTGTTATAAAGTGAAATGAATGAAGTGAAGAGATCCAGATAACGAGTGGTGAAGACCAGTCCAAAAAGAAGCTGACTTTTCCCAGATATACCTAGATCAACGAAGAAAATATTATGAGAAAAGATATTTAAAAGCCAAACTGTGTAAACAAACACAATTAATTATAAAAGGGACTCTATGTTCCCAAAGGAAAGCAGAATGCTATGGGGCAAGTCTAAATTCGGCCATTGAAACAGTGGGCCCTAGTAGTGATGATTACTCTTGGATCTTGGGTGCAGTATAAAGGGGCAGAGTATCTTTCTATCCACCAGTTCCACAAAGAGTTTATTTTGCTGAGCAGGAATCACTGTGGATTAAGGCTGACTATCAGTAAGGGGATCTGGCAGGATTTTTTCAAAATCAGCAATGGGAGTTTTGCCCATCTTATAATTATCACTGGGGATTTCACACCATCTTCAGAGAGCCAGCATTTTTTATGTAGGATTAAGGCACATAGAGAGCAGCTCTGTGCAAATGAACTTGCTTTATAAGAAGGCCTGAGATCCTCTGTTCTCAGTGCAGTAGGTGAAACTGATACATTCATATCCTCGTGTCATTCTTCTCTAGCTTCCCATCCATTGTGTGAGGCCACATTACCTCTCTTCTGATGCTAAATAAAGGTGTGGTCTTTTCTAGTCAGCTCTCTTTCATTCATTCACTCACCTCCACCAGGCTCACAGTCATCTTACTAGTGAGACCCACTAGTCCTGATCCCAGTCTGTGAGAAATCCCCATGGAAACAGCTGCCAAGCCCTATGTCAGTCCACTTAACCCCAAGAAGGCATCATCCATGGGGAGCTGCTTAAGAGGGACACTGTGGCTTGATGTTCTACCACTGGCCATTATCTAGTGCACACTGATATGCCTCAACCTTCCACTGATCTGTGTCAACAATTGAAGCTGTGTCAAACAAGCCATTAACAATCCCTTTCCCATGACAGCAAATTTTCCGGTCACATTTTTGTAAAAATTCTGTCTCACTGGGTGCAAAATAAAGGTTGATTACAAATATATGCCTCATTACATTATCATAATGTGATGGCACATGCCCTCGTTTATTAGCTTTGTTCCACACAACTCAGTGGAAAACAAAACTTTCAAACCATATTTCAGTTTGATAAAAACTTAATTCTAAACACTCCTAGTTAGAGGAGAGGAGGATTATTGCAGCATCCCTCTTCTGCTAATTAAATGTCAGTATCAGCATTCCTTTCAATAAATATGATACAAGGAGAGAGAGGATGAGGAAGGGTAGAATCAAATCAGAGCCACATATCTAGCATTATGTAATAGTTATAATTACCAGGCAAGATAGCTAAGGGAGATACTTCTAAGACAAGAAGTACTAGGTAACAATTGTTCCCAGATGAATTGGCACAGTGTCCCTGCTGCCTCATCTCTCACACTGATTGTTTTAGAGTGACAGTAGTTGTTGGTAAGACACTGCTAATAAGACACCTAAAAGTGTAATTGTCCAATACCAAGGTGGAAAGGATATAAGTATGACTGATAGGAGTGATCCCATCCCATGTCCACATATTTCAGTTAATGCTACAGCTACCTTTGTTGCTTTTGTACACTACCAGGTACCTTGTATTTTCTTTCATTGAGCCCTCGAACAATTCAAACCCCTATCACTTTAATTTATTATAATATCCAGTTTCTTCATTGTAACGTTTATTCAAAGTGGGGAAAGTAACTGAAAGGAAGCGCAACTGTAACAATGTGTCCCATGGCAATTTTGTTTCTCCTAAATAGTTTCTCACTCAGAAAAGATTGTTGCTATGCAAAACAAATACATTTATCAGGCTGTATAACTAAGTACCAGAGAAGGTTTAACTGCAAGCATCAAATCTGCATAATTGTGTAAGTTATCAACTTGTTCTAATGTCTCTATAACACAGATCCTATCTGTATGATGCCACATTCACAAAGCTGATACTGAATTCCAGGCTATTCTGCTATTTTTGAAAAGATTACATGTATTTTAGGGAATATATAGGTGTTAAGAATGTCCAGAATAAGGTCCATCTTTTTCTGGGCTTTCCAAGCATGAATATGACTGCACCCCAATTATAATCCTATACTTACTAAACAGCAAAAGCCAGACTTACATCTGAGCAAGAATGCCACCGGAACAGGTTGTAGGGATGTGGTTGTGTTCTGTAAATCATATAACCATGTCTCCCTATACTAGGAACAATTAATTATAATCCTCAATTATTCTGCATAAGATGCCTCCAATTTTTCAGATTCTGGTTGCTTATCTGCTGCAACACAAGTCTGCAGCTTTAAAAATCAGCTCCAGTAAAATACCGACTGATTAGTCAACTGTAACTTATCCATTTTGCCACCAGACAGCATTCTGTCTTCCTTACAGAATTAACTCTTCCAGAATTACAAACACCGGCCAGTTTAGAAAAGCCGTAGACACTGGAACACTGTCCAACATCAAATCATCCACAAGGATGAACTGAAATGCTAAATAACTGAATTGTGACAAATTGGCTTTAAAAGGAATCAAAGTACAGAAGGGAAAATGACAGCAATGCTGGCAAAAAAAATTCTTTAAAACGTTTAATAAATATCAATGAGGAACTGGCCTTTCTATTAAAAACAGGTACAAGAGTGCTGCAGGAACATAAGCCGTAAGAACATATCTCGGAGTCTGCCACACCTACAGTTAGCTGCCACGTCAGACTAGGCCAGGAATCCCAATTGAGAGCCTATTCTCCCAAGCCGGGATTCAGTCATTTGCTTCCAGTTTCAACTGCAATCGGTAATGCAAGTAAAGGAGTCTGCCAAGACTTTGAATCAAATTAGACTGCCGTTTAAGCTCTTCCAAAAGGAAGAAAGAAGTGAAGAATCACAAAAGTTTACAAAGGCAGGCCCCAACAACTCAGGAGCATACTTTTGAGAAGTGCCAACTCTGCATGAGAATCTGCAACACTTCTGTTCAGCAGGATAACTTTGGCTATGCCATAACTCTCCTTTTTTCCAAAATTATTTTTCTAAGACTATTGGCAAAGAATAGCAATGTCTTGATGAGGATGCATGTAACACAGCTCCAGAATTTTAAAGCTGTAGCCTTACGAAAGCAAGCTAATGATTATCTTTGATTCAAAGTCCTTTCATACTATCTATGCACATCAGCTCTGTAAAGAATAAGATACAAGAAAGACAAACTGCAGAGAAAAAAGTATGCATGCTTGCTTCATTTGTCTTAACACAGAAGAAAGCAATGTTAGAGCACTACAGTATCTTTTGTGCTAGTATGTTACGTCCCTTTGTCTATTTAAAATATTTTCTAAGAATCAAAGGAGACCTAAATACCGAGTTAAATTGGGCCCCTTCCACACAGCTCAATAAAATCCTACATTTTCTGCTTTAAACTGGAACATATGGCAGTGTGTACTCAGATAACTCAGTTCAAAGCAGATATTGTGGGATTTTCTGGCTTGATGTTCTGGGTTATATGTCTGTATGGAAGGGCCCTGAGGCTTGCCTAGATTTTGACCCCTTTTCAAACTCAGCTTCAATTTCACCTGCAGTGCAGATCTTTATATGCAAGACTAACCAAATTCATTTTTCCAATGAGTTAATTCATTCAGGATAAGTGTGAGTTTCTATTACAAGCATTTAAGAGTAAGGATCCTCTGAAGTGTACAAACTGTTTTATATTGAAACAATGGTCCCTTCCAGACAGGTCCTATATCCCAGGATCTGATCCCAGGTTTTCTGTTTATCCCAGATTATCTGGCAGTGTGGACTCATATGCTCCAGTTTAAAGCAGAAAACCTGGGATCAGATCCTGTCTAGAAGGGCCCAATGTTTCTGAGCACTGACATGCTTTCACAACAATTCCCTTATTTTCAAAAACTGCATCCAGTGGGGGAAAACTGGTATTTCTACAGACACCTTATTTTCCTCAATCTTCTTAAAAGACAAAGCTGCCAACTTCAACCTCTTTTCTAGTGTATCAAAGGCTGCAAAGTGATGATCTCCCTACTTTTTACAAATATATGGGTCATAGCACCATGAAAGAAACATCTTTTCCCATTAAAAACCTAAATTCCAAGGTATTGTCGAAGCTTTCTCTGTGGAACTTGGGCGAGTTGCGCGTTTCCTCTTCTCACAACAAACAGAAGAGGGAGGTCAGGCCGAGGTGGACTGGCGAGACACAGGGCCCAAGGTCATCTATGTAGCTGAGCTGGAATCTGACACTCACCTGGCTGGTCCAGGTCCAACACTCTGCGGTTACATCACATTGACTGCCTCACACAGTACCCACAAAACCTCACCTAACAGAGACTCCCCTTTCTACATAATCTCTCAGGAATATCTTTCATGACATTCACTCTTGGAAACTAGCATTTCTTACTACCACCTACTTATCAAAATAACCTTTCCCTAAAATTCCTACAAAGAAGAGAATGGACCGCTTTCTGTATGTGCGCCTTCAGATCGGCTGTTGGGTTTGGGTTACTTCAGTGTTTGCATAGGAAGGTTCAGGCCCCTTCTACACTGCCATATAACCTAGATTATCAAACCAGAGAACCTGCTTTGAACCGGATTATCTGAGTCTGCACTGCCACATAATCCAGTGCAAAGCAGATAATCTGGATTTTTATGGCAGTGTAGAAGGGGCTTCAGAGGTGGGCAATGATTAGGGCTGTAGCTGTGGTTTTCCCAGTTCCTTCTACTGAGAGACAGCTGATTGCCCCTGGAATTCTCTAAGTATTGACCATAGCTGAACATGCTTAGCTTTCGGGGTCAGATGGAATTGGGCGCCTTTAGGGCATCAAAGTCTCCCCACAACTCTGGAACTCCCTTGCCCAGGGAAGTCAGAATGCCCCCCTCCCTGATGCCCTTCAGATGGCAGGTTAAAACCCCTTTTTTTTACTCAGGCAGGCTTTTAAAGAAGGTGTTAAAGATCTAGTCAGGAGCGGATGTCTTTATATGATCTTAATGATGTTTAATACTTGTATATTTGAAGATTTTGAGATGTATTGCAATGCTTTTAAGTTGAGACCTGCTTTGAATGTATACAGCTTCCCACTTGGGTGGCTCTAGAGGCGGCCTGGGCTACCTTTGGCCCTTTGGATGTTTTGGACTACAACTCCCACAATTCCTGGGAATTTCAGTCCAAAACACCCAGAGGTTCGAAGTTCACCCAGGCTGGCTGTAGAGAGGGCCCCTATCTCCCACTTTGCCTGAAGGGAAGGCCTCAGGCCCCTTCCTTCTTCTTCTTATGTGATCCCTCATAGTCCAAGGATGATGGTCCCCCAAGTGTAGGGTCTTGGAGGTGGGCCTGTAGGTGGCTGTGGAGCCCTATTGTTGATCTGCAAGTTCTCCCGCAAACACAGCCCTTCCACCAGTCTTATATCCCAGAACATCAAGGCAGAAAACCCCACAATATCCGCTTTGAATTGGAATATATGGCAGTGTGGACTCAGATAACCCAGAAGATCCATGAGGGTGTTCCTCCAGGGGCAAACCAAGAATGGGCAACTTGGAAGTCCCTGAACAGACTCAGAAGTGGAGTGGGTAGAACAAAAGACAACCTGGAAATATGGCACTACCTAAAAGAATCCCACACTTTATGTGACTGTGGAGCAGGACAGACAACTCAGCATCTGTATGCTTGTCCACTATGCCCTGCCTCATGTACAGAGGAAGAATTGTTGAAGGCTACAGACAATGCCATTGCTGTTGCCTGTTTTTGGTCAAAAGATATTTAGCCACCTGCGCTCCTTCAATTTTTTATCGGTTTTATACTAATTTATGCAATGCTTTTGATATGAAATAAATAAATAAATAACCCAGCTCGAAGCAGATATTGTGGGATTTTCTGCCTTGAGAGTCTGGGATATAGGGCTGTGTGGAAGGGATCCCAGGCTGCTGGATCAAATCCTACATTATCTGCTGTGAACTGGAAGAGATAGCAGTGTGGACTCAGACAACCCAGGCACTTCCACACATCTCTATATCCCAGAATATCAAGGCAGGAAATTCCACATTATCTGAGTGTGGACTCAGAATAACCCAGCTCAAAGCAGATATCGTGGCGTTTTCTGCCTTGATATTCTGGGATATAGGACTGTGTGGAAGGGCCCTGGGTTATCTGAGTGCACACTCAAGATAATGTGGGGTTTTCTGCCTTGATATTCTGGGATATAGGGCTGTGTGGAAGGGCCCTGGGTTATCCGAGTGCACACTCAGATAATGTGGGGTTTTCTGCCTTGATATTCTGGGATATAGAGCTGTGTGGAAGGGCCCTGGGTTATCCGAGTGCACACTCAGATAATGTGGGGTTTTCTGCCTTGATATTGTGGGATATAGGGCTGTGTGGAAGGGCCCTGGGTTATCCAAGTGCACACTCAGATAATGTGGGGTTTTCTGCCTTGATATTCTGGGATATAGGGCTGTGTGGAATGGCTGTGTAGAAGGACCCTCAGATAACCTAATTCAAAGCAGATATTGTGGGGTTTTCTGCCTAGATATTCTGGGTTATATGGCTGTGTAGAAGGACCCTCAGATAACCTAATTCAAAGCAGATATTGTGGGGTTTTCTGCCTAGATATTCTGGGTTATATGGCTATGTGGAAGGACCCTCAGATAACCTAATTCAAAGCAGATATTGTGGGGTTTTCTGTCGAAGGCTTTCATGGCTGGAATCACTAAGTTCTTGTGGGTTTTTCCGGGCTATATGGCCATGTTCTAAGGCATTTCTCCTGACGTTTCGCCTGCATCTATGGCAAGCATCCTCAGAGGTGAGGTCTGCTGGAACTGGGGAAAAAGGGTTATATATCTGTGGAATGACCAGGGTGAGACAAAGGGCTTTTGTAAGTTGGGCTAGGTGTGAATCTTTCAACTGACCACCTTGATTAGCATACAATGGGCTGACTGCCTGGAGCAAACTCTTCTTGAAAGGTGATTAGATGTCCCCAGGCACAGTCAGCCCATTGTATGCTAATCAAGGTGGTCAGTTGAAAGATTCACACCTAGCCCAACTTACAAAAGCCCTTTGTCTCACCCTGGTCATTCCACAGATATAAAAAGGTAAAGGTTTCCCTAACATTAAGTCCAGTCGTGTTTGACTCTGGGGGGTGGTGCTCATCTCCATTTCTAAGCCGAACAGCCGGCGTTGTCCGTAGAACCTCCTAGGTCATGTGGCCAGTATGACTGCATGGAGTGCCGTTACCTTCCCACATTGATCTACTAACATTTGCATGTTTTCAAACTGCTAGGTTGGCAGAAGCTAGGGCTGACAGCAGAAGCTCACGCCGCTCCCCGGAATCAAACCTGCGACCTTTCGATCAACAAGCTCAGTAGCTCAGCGCTTTAACCCACTTGGCTCACCCTGGTCATTCCACAGATATATAAACCCCTTTTTCCCAGCTCCAGCAGACCTCTGAGGAAGCTTGCCATAGATGCAGGCGAAACGTCAGGAGAAATGCCTCTAGAACATGGCCATATAGCCCGAAAAAACCCACAAGAACTGAGTGATTCCGGCCATGAAAGCCTTCGACAATACATTAAATCAAATACAGGTCGCAGAAAATGATAATGACAGGGAGAGGGCAGGATCCCCAGTCTTTGCTCTTCCAGGCGTTTTGGACTACATCTCCCAGAATCCCTCGCAGTGAGCCAACCTAGATGGGGCTTCTGGGAGTTGAAGTCCCAAAGGCGGGGCACCGATTGGGAGACCTCTATGAGGGAGAGAACCTCACTGAAGGGGCAGAAACGTGCTAAGGGAAAGCAGGCCCACACCCTCCCCTTGCGTTCCCTCAGAGGAGCCTGAAAGAGCAGGGACAAGGCCGAGGCCTGCCCTCTCCCCTCCCTCACCGGCGCATGAGCGGGTCTTCCAGATCTTGAGGAGCAGGATGATGATGGCAGCCAAGTGGGAGAGGTCCCCGGTGAGGCGGAAGACGTTCATGGCGGCAACGGCGCTTCGAACAGAGGAGCCGGCGAAGATGGCGAGCGCTCAGCGGGCACCGAGCGACGTGGCCCGGGGACGTGGCCAGAGACAGCCAGCGCGGGCGCGGGGCACGCCGGGAAAAGGCAGCAATTACCATACGGAGAGAGGGGAGGGCGGGGGGCGGGGCAAGGCAAGCCACGCCCACCCCTCGCCTTCCTTCGCCGCGGTTGGGCGAGGAAGGGAAAGCGCGCGCACGAGCCCTTCTCTTTCCGCGCAGGCGCACACGCCGTCCAGGCCGCGCCTCCTCTCCAGCAACGCGCATGCGCAATAGGGACAGGGTTGTCTGCTCTCTGACTTGTGCATCTGGTCATAGAATCAAAGAGTTGGAAGAGACCTCATGGGCCATCCAGTCCAACCCCATTCTGCCAAGAAGCAGGAATATTGCATTCAAATCACCCCTGACAGATGGCCATCCAGCCTCTGTTTAAAAGCTTCCAAAGAAGGAACCTCCACCACACTCCAGGGGCAGAGAGTTCCACTGCTGAACGGCTCTCGCAGTCAGGAAGTTTTTCCTCATGTTCAGATGGAATCTCCTCTCTTGTAGTTTGAAGCCATTGTTCCGCGTCCTAGTCTCCAAGGAAGCAGAAAACAAGCTTGCTCCCTCCTCCCTGTGGCTTCCTCTCACATATTTATACATGGCTATTAGGCCTGGGTAACACGGAAAAATTTGGTTCTAAACTCGTTTCATTTTTAGGGGGGCCCTTGCGTTTCGTTTTTTTAAAGAATTCCGAAATTTTCCTTTAAAAAAGTTCGAAATATACGAAATTTCGTAAAATTACGAATCGATTCGTTAATGGCGGACGCGATTGCGCAATATGCTAAAAAACCCTCCAAATGGGACAGGGGGAACTTCTGAAGCTTCCCTCTCCCTCTGTTGTTGACTGTTGTGTGATAATTTGTTTTTTATCATTGATAAAACAAACAACAACTATAAAACTTGCACCAGACATACGGAAATAATTACGAAACAATTACGAAACAATTGCGAAACAATTTTGAACCAATTACGAAACAATTACGAAACAATACGAAAAAAATTGGAAAAATTGTTTCGATTTTTAATTACTCTTCACAGTAGTCCTGCATGGCTCAATATTGGATCGTAAGCTAATTTAAATACGATTAATAACGAATTACGAAATTAACGAACAAAACCGCCCAAGCCTAATGGCTATCATATCTCCTCTCAGCCTTCTCTTCTTCAGGCTAAACATGCCCAGCTCCTTAGCCGCTCCTCATAGGGCTTGTTCTCCAGACCTTTTATCATTTTAGTCGCTCTCCTCTGGACACATTCCATCTTGTCAATATCTCTCTTGAATTGTGGTGCCCAGAATTGGACACAATATTCCAGATGTGGTCTAACCAAGCAGAATAGAGGGATAGCATTACTTCCCTAGATCTAGACACTAGGCTCCTATTGATGCAGGCCAAAACCGGGATTGTGGCGCAGCGCACCGGGATTGTGGCGCAGCTGGCTGAGTGTCAGCTGCATTAAGATCACTCTGACCAAAAGGTCATGAGTTCGAAGCCAGCCCGGGCTGGAGTGGGTGTCCAGCCATTGTGTAGCCTGTTGTCGACCTTTGCAACCCGAAAGACAGTTGCATCTGTCAAGTAGGAAAATAAGGTACCACCTTGTGTGGGAGGCTAAATTTAACTAATTTATGAGGCCATAAAGAAAGAAGACTCTGGGGAATGTGGAATGCGGAAGAACTTCATCGGTGTCGTTGATGGACGATGAAAAGCAGCAGCTCCCCTGGCGGCCAAAAAAAAAAAAGTTAAATAGCCTTTGTCTGTTAAATGTTGTTTGTCAAACTGGCATTGAATGTTTGCCATATATGTGTTTACTGTAATCCGCCCTGAGTCCCCTGCGGGGTGAGAAGGGCGGAATATAAGAACTGTAAATAATAATAATAATAATAATATTAATGCATTAACTGGTCCTGTCCAGTTAATACATTTTGACACCACTTTCACTCCCGTGGCTTTTAATGCAATAGAATCATAGGGATTGGGGTCTGCTAAGGCCCCAATCTATTCCTCTATTCCGCTTTGGTTAGACCACACATGGAATATTGTGTTTAGAGTGCCTTGTAGGTCTTTTTCTGAATGTGCACAGACGACGTTGCCATCAACATACTGGAGTTCTATAACAGATTTATAACTGAATTATATGGCAGTGTAGACTCACATAATCCAGTTCAAAGCAGATCATGTGGGTGATCTGCTTTGATAATCTGGATTACATGGCAGTGTAGAAAGGGCCTAAGACACAGGAATGGATTAATATGGCAGGAGGAAAAATTCCACCTAAACATTACAAAGAACCTCCTGATATTAGGACCTGTTTTGGAATTTAGTGGAGTCTTCTTCTCTGGCAGTTATTATCAGAAGCTGGATGGCCATCTGTTAGGAGTGCTTTGATTGTGTGTCCCTTCGTGGCAGAAGGGGGTTGGACAGGATGACCCTTGGGGTCTCTTCCAACTCTATAATTCTATGCTCTTATTGAGTTCCCTTATAGATGCCATTCAGAGGAGGGAGAAAATTCCTCCTCTTTAGCTGTAAAAATACAATACTTTAAGTGGAAGGCAGGCACTTGTGGCCTTAATGTCATACTGAAATCATTGAGGAATTTAAAAGGGTCTGGCCCTGAAGGAGAGACCCTGCGGACCCACCAAAGAGGGCTCGCTACAATGGTGAGCAAAGAGAAGCCCAATTTAAAAGGTTTTTCCTAAGTTCCCAAAAGAAATCTCACCAAAGCTGAAGGAAGTGCCACCGAGATTATTTTATTGCGATTCAGCTGAAAAGGATGCAAAGCAGCAATATTTCACCAAGCTGAGCATAACATGTGTACAAATAAAAGCCTTTTTAAATACAGAAACAGAGTTGCCAGGTTTGAATCTCCCATTCCTCGCCCCTCTGCCAGCTCAATGATGTTTGGCTGGCGCTCTACAGCTGGGAGAAGGCTTGGCCACCTCCTGAGCACCTGGGCCAATCGCTGGGCTTCTGCCGCCTCGGCGTCCTGACGAATCAGGAGAGAGGGAGGCGGGACGAAAGGGAAACAATGGATTCTTGAGAGGATTATGGAGGTAGGAAATGAATATGTGGCCAGCGAGTTCTGGGGCCTGCGAGCCAGCCATTCCTGTTGTCATTGAGTGGCTGCAATAAACATTGATGTTTGGCGATCCTGCCAAGATCTGGATTTTTCCAGTGTGGAGATATGGGAACAATGGGGAACTTTGGCTGAAGTCTTTAGTGAAAGAAAAGTTGAATGGGTGACAGATTAGGATGCGGTGCGGCTTTCCGAAGGCACCCTCCATCCTATTGAGATATGATCATAATTGCCAAATGACCGCTTCCTCTGGGGGACCAACTCCAAGCCCAGAGGTCACGGTCCTTTGTTATTGTCCATGCAAATAGTGTCTTTTGATAAGGGTCTTTTTCAACTGGAGATTTCCTTCTTTCCAGGGTCACGCAGGGATGGCTGCCTTGTATTTTTATACATTTTTCAATAAAGGGGAATTGGGCAAAAGGGTCAGGAAAAGGTCAGATACAAAGGGAGAAATATAGAAATCATGTTATAGAAAACATACCCACTTATCCCTCCCACCAGAGTCCCATAGAAGTTCAAGAGAGCACATAAGTGTAAAGGGAGGTGGTTTCTCAGTAATAAATGTGCTACCTTCTGCTATATATGAAACCTAGGGCATAAAACCTTGATTAAATGTACACACTATCTAACATGGGAAGGGTCGTTGTTGTTAGTGTATTGGCATATTGACCAAGGCTTAACCCTTATTATCCAGTCTGGTGTCTTTGTCCTTAGCTAAACTATAAGTTACTATCTGTTATTGGGGGGGGGAGGGGAGTCATGTTCGGTCATGTTCGACTTCAATACAAAGGGTTGGGTGGTGTTCCCTATTGTAAGTGATGTCTTTTACTTAAGGGCATATATTATTGTCTCTTTTATGATGACCAGTTTGCTATTGATCAGACAATATCATTTTACAGCCCAGATATCTGTTGAGAGCATGGCTCGTGCCCATTCTTTCCACATCTGACTTCACAGTGCAAGATTTCCAGGACAATGGCATGTTGTTGTTGTTGTTGTTTTTGTTGTTGTAAGATTTGAGATTTCACAGGACCACTGAGATCTGAGGTGGGCATCATATAGACCTGTTTGACTTCTCCTGGCCAATCTGACCCTTATCACTATTTTGAAAAATTGGCCACTCTAGTTACATTCCACATTTCTGCATGAAGCAGCCGTCTCCCTTTCTGCAAATTCATTATGCATTGGATGAAGAAGTATGTCTTTCCAGCAGTCTTGAATTCATTGTGGATCAATTTTGATGGATGACCCTAGGGTTTTAGTATGCGAGAGGTAGAGAACATTTATCTATCTATCTATGCATTTCTCTCCACACTAAGAATAATTTCATGTTACTTATTAGAGCAGCTACATCTGGGAAAAGAGCATAACATACTCTGTAGTTTTACCTATCTCTAGCAGTTTTAAAAATAGTGTCAATCAGAACTTTACCTGTCAAATTGGGAGAATGGCATAGTATGAATGTAGGCAGCAATTGTCTCATACTTACATGAAGTAAATCCTATCGTTATCAGCCAGGCTCTCTTCTGAATGGGCATGGGGCTATCTTGTTGATTGTACCATTGTGTATCACAAAGGTAAGACAAAGAACTGTGCTGTCTTACCTTACTTGAGAAGCTTAGATTGCCTCTGGTGTGTCTGTAAGAAGGTCCTCCATTGTGCATGTGGCAGGGCTCAGGCTACATTGTAGCAGGTGGTCTGTGGTTTGCTCTTTCCTACTCTCGCATGTTGTGGACTCTACTTTGTAGCCCCATTTCTTAAGGTTGGCTCTGCATCGGGTAGTGCCAGGGCGCAGTCTCTTCAGCCCCTTCCAAGTTGCCCAGTCTTCTGTGTGCCCAGGAGGGAGTTTCACATCCGGTCTCAGCCACTGATTGAGGTTCAGAGTTTTAGCCTGCCACTTTTGGACTCTTGCTTGCTGAGGTGATCCTGCAAGTATCTCTGTAGATCTTAGGGAGCTATTTCTTGATTT